CTATTACCAACGACATATTAAAGTGATAACTGTAATGAGTAGCGTAATGAAAAAGATATTTAGAGAAAAGGTGGAGATAAAACAGAGATTGGGTGAGTGATAAGTGAGTGAATGAAAGTATGTGTGTGAGAAAGAAAAAATGATATTAATTACAAAGTACTCGAATTGCTTTTTTCTACACGTAGGAATAATCTAACGGTAAAAGTGCGCATACAGTAAAAAGCAATACAATATGAACGTTAACGTGTCTTCTCAGGAAGAGAAGTGAAGGGCGAAAGAAGTTCGAGCTCGAAAGTAATAAAAGCAGCGAGCGCGACGTGCCCCGAGACGGAAATTGTGCTTGTCAAACGCTTTTCCTACGTCGTTCCACGCTTTTTCGTTTTCACTACTACTATAGCGTACTCACGTTGGAACTACGTACTCCCTTGTCGCGCGACAAACGACAGGCGACAGACGACAGCGCGAAAAAGGCGACAGGCAGACGCTTCTGATCCAGCGAGCGAGCGAGGCGCCCATTTAGGATGATTGCCTGATTTTATGTATTTATACAGGGCGAAGAGAGGGAGGTTAAACCGCTTTTCACACCAATGTTTCCATTGCTAATAGAAATTCGTTTCACAGTTTACGTCCATGTCACGTGTACTAAATGTGTGCAAAAAAGTAACATCCAATTTTATATAAACAAATAGAATTTTTATCGTTTATGTGTATATATATATATATATATATAATTATTTACTTAATATATATATATATATAATTCTCATTCACTTTTATTCTTAAACATACATCACAATGATTATTTCACGATATGTCGTGAAACATGAAGACATCATGTTAGATGAGAGATCATAGCTAAATATTTACAAATAAAGAAATGTGTTTTATTTATAAAACAAGAATGCTCTTGATCTCTTTTACATCATATGCGCGTATCACGAAGATTCAAGTTTAACCCAGTTAATATCTTGACTTTCCTCGCTGATTTTCATTAGATCGACTGTTTATTTCTTCACAAGTGATTGTTTCTTTTTTAGTTGTACCACCAATTGTAATATTTGACGTATAATTTAAAGCTTAGTTATCATTGTTCTTGATAAATGTTTGTTAATATCGTGGGCTACCAGAAATTTGATTGCTGCGATTACTTGGACCGCCCATTCCGCATCAACAAGCTTCGATGCAAAGTATTTGTAGCACAGAGGGGACGGTTGTTCTCGTCTGTTATTCCCATGAGTATTAAGACGGGAAGAAAATAGCTGAAGCCGGTGGCACGTGCACACTACCCTGACTAGTGTGATGACTGACTCGTGTACGCGACACAAAGATACTCAGACAAGTACGCGAGCACGCGGCAGTATCGTCAGAATGTTTTAATATTTAATGCGATTAAACTCATTTCGTTCCGCCTCCCGTAATTGGTTTCTGATTAACTGCTAAGTTTTAAGTGCATTAGCTGTGTGCAATAGTTACATGCGATGTATATCATATCCCGATGTCTATCGTCAACTAATAATCCTAAGTGTGTTGCAAGCAGCACACTTAGGACCTCAAGAGTGATTTTGTTAATCAAAGATTTAAAGCACTGCAATTTTGTCATCGAATCAACATTTTGAATCTTTTTGAGCATATACAATAATTAGTCTAGATAACTCTAATTTTAGCGATTTGGATCATTCGGATATTGAAACGAGATAGGAGTAAAAAATGAGATTAATATATTTAATCGTTCCATTATACATCACTTAATATTACAGTTTCTACCTTCAAACTCAGACCATCTAAACCACATTGAAGGTTCGATTCTGCGTCTTCAATTGTTTAAATTGTTCAATCGTCTAAAAATACCGGGTATTTGTACAATAGTAACTTCGGAATTATGCGTCCAAACTAAACGCCCTGACTGAATGACTCGTCGTAGTAAGGATCGATCAAAAATTAATCTGTTATTTTGCTCAAACGACCCTTATCGCTAACATCTGATATACCGGGGTTCTCTCGGCCAGTTCAAGTGCCGAGTGTTGCAGTGGGAGATAAGTTGTCCGTAGGGATAATCCGTGGACTCAGCGGGTGTCTCTAGTCGGCATGGTTTCACTCCATCTTCTGTTGACAGACCAAATCCCCCGTGTCAAGTGTCTCTATCTACCAACGAGACGATCGCCGCGATCTATTCTATCGGCTGTATATCCAATTAAAAGAGCAAAATTTAATTAGCTGTTACGAACCAATTGGATGAGATAGACAAACGCGAAGAGACACTTGCAATATAAATCTATACATATGTTTGAGACAATGGGTGCATTCAGTACTACAACCGCTCACTGAGCGCTAAGTGAGCTCTTGCATCTGATTGGTGTATATTTTTAAATCTAAAAGAATATACCAATCAAATGTAAAAGCTCATTGAGCGCTCAGTGAGCGGTTGTAATACTGAATGCACCCAATAACAAGTATCATAAGAACAACAAATAAGTATGTGCGATAAACGCTTGAACAAACGTTTAATTCGTTTAATCGAATTCATCAATTGTTCTGTGTTAACACAGATCTACTTTCCATGACTCGGAAGGTAGAACGAGATCTTTTCCACGATTCTCGCACCAAATTATCATCGGCTTTAAGCTGAAGCCGTAAACCTTGATTTAAATTTCAAATGCAGCTGTATATTCAATTACGCCGAAATCCACGAAGTATCGACAGAACTCAAAGAGAACGTGTGGTTCAAGCAAAATTCTTTTACCGCACCGTCCACCTTGATGTTTTCGAGTAAAAAGCGATATGCGTATGTTCCAATATTAATCTCGATAATTGAAAAAATATAATATCAATCCTTTTTTTCAGTTCAAATGATCTTTTATCATTTTGTATCGTATGATTTCGCTCAACTTGACAATAATAGTTATTATATCTTGAGAGAGGCGAAATGTTTTATCCGTAAGAAACGGATTAGTTTTATATATAATAATTTGTCATTGTTGTTTCAGTGTCCATAGAGTATGAATATTAAAATACGTTGTCAAATAAGTAAATTACGAAGATAGGTAGAACATGCTGCGCGCGCGCAGCCTGATTTCTCGGAGATCTTAAATTAAACCACGTTTCTCTCGCGTTGTTTTGCGATCGGAAAAGAATTCTGATCGGTGGCGGGAAGTTGAGAGCGTTCCGGTGTCGCTCGCAATCGGGGCATAAAGTGTCCACATAAAGCAAAGTCCTGGTAGGCAGGCCAAGATGCCGAGAAAGGACCCAGGTGCGATGCGAAATACGTCGGAACCTGCCGCCTCGTCTGCTACTCCACTCAACCGTTTATCTTTTTCTATCAGCTAAACAGAAAAGTCCGTGGTTTTATTAGAAATATATAGGGTGTCTCGTGATGGTTATGCGATTGAAAAGAAAATTATTTCTTTTTCAAAGGTAAGAGTTGAAAATATAGGATAAAATGTTTCCGTACTATACTTCTCTGCTATACTCGAACAAATTGATTTGCTCATTGAAAAATCAATAATATATTATATATACTTTATATATTTTATATATAGTATTAAAAAAGTAACTAAAGTTAGAAGTTAGAAAAATCATTAAAAGACAGCACTAAACAAAACATATTCGTAAATACAATAATTTTAAATATTATAAAAAAATATATATATAACTTACTTATTGATTATAATAAATTAACAGTAAACGACTAAATGACAATTCGGATTAACAAATATTTGCGCATAATTTAATTCATTAATTAAAAATGTTCTAAAACCTGATTTCTATGTACTGGAAACATATTTTTAAATTATTTTATTGTTCGTTCCACATATAATCTTTTATAATAAATTTTACAGAAACATTGTGCTATATATAAAATAAGAAACAGTTTAATTACAAAAATTTTGATACTAAAAAAGACAATTCTACTAATGAGACATCTATAAACTTAAATGGACAGTGGCGCAATCTATTGTAGTAATCTGCCAATAACACTCATGATACTACAGTGTAGCATCATACAATAGTAGTAATCGATCGAGCAACTCAGTTAGCCGAGTACTATTTCTTTCAAATGATTATTGAGTAATAATTATTTATCACTGGCCATCTTATTACAGTCAATAATATCTCTTTTCCTGTCAGCAAGCTTTGATATCTTTTTGGTGGTACTTTGGCAATATAATCTGATGTAACAAATCCTGTGTTGGATTTGTTGCCTTTATGACATCAAAAGTTTAGTCAACGCGATAAACTTATTATAGTAATGATATGTTTACACAATATTTTTGTATCATCGGTAATTTGTATCGTCAAAGTAATCGAATATAATGGTATAAATGTCTGTGTTATCTTCAACATAGCTAAAACAGTCGGTATTATTATCGCTCTTTAATTATCTCTAGACCCCTCGAGGCCCCTTTATACGAACGAATACGAAAATTTAAGCGGGAAGCACACACTCTTATATAAAGGCATAATGCACAACGCATAAAGAAATAAACCAATCAGAATCTTCATTTCTATTGCCACGCTTGAAATGAAAGACTCTGATTGGTTCATTTCCTTATGCGTTGTGCATTATGCCTTTATGTAAAGGCCAAAGCACAGACTTCTGCATAACGCATAATACACAACGCATAAAAGAATCAACAAATCAGAGTTCTTCATTTCTGTCCTGAGGAGGGAAATGAAGAAAACTAATTGGTTTATTCTCTTATGCGTTGTGTATTATCCTCGTCGATAACCCAGAATGGGTTAATAAAATGCGATTAAGATGTCGGACCGCTTCATTGCACCCTATTACACCCGATTTTGCTGTAAATAAAATTATGTGCAGAGAGAAACTTGAGAACGGCCACCGGGTCGATTATGCTGGGACGCTTTTTCCGCCGAATTCCGTCACGCCCCCTGAGAAAATGTGTGCACACTACATCCGTCCTGACGGTAATGGCAAAGCGTGCACGGTTCTTCTTCACTACTTTCCTTAAGGAAAATAGTAAGTTAGAAAAGCACAGACGATCAATCGTTCTCTGTCTTTGTCACATCACCGATGAGCATACGCGCAGCAAGAGGAGGCAGCGGCAGATCTTATCGCTAAACTAGAATTTCTCTCGCGTCTTGCCCCTTCATCTTCTCATTTTTCACGCAACGCACTACCCGCAATTCGAGAAGAAATAATTTGAGACCGCGCGGACAACTTCTGACAATGATGCAAAATGATCCTAATTAACTAAATAATAATTGCAATATTTTTTGCAACTATTTTAACTTCTTGTGCGCTATGTATTATGTATTGTCAGTGATGAATCCTGTGACAAAGAGAACAATCTTTAAGTTAATTCGCTTGTATAGCCATGTCGCAAACAATAAATCTGCTAACTTGATTCGAAAGGAGTTTTTAGATTATTTTGCAAAAGATCTAAAACACAGTATTATTCGTTCTAGTCCTGTTTCTCCAATTACTGACCAGTCGCTCGCATTTACCAACGCTGGTATGAATCAAGTATGTTTTTCTACCATGATAAGTTTATGTATTTATTTGTGTATATAAATGAATTTAAAAAATATTGTTTAAAACATACAACATTTTCAGTTTAAAGGAATTTTTTTGAACTACTATGAGCCACCTGCGACAAAAGTTGTAAATTCACAAAAGTGTATTAGAGTTGGTGGAAAACACAATGATCTAAGTGTTGTTGGTAATGATAATTATCATCATACATTTTTTGAGATGCTTGGAAACTGGTCTTTTGGAGATTATTTTAAGGTACAGTACAATATATATATGTACATACTATGTGTTTATCCTCCATTTAAGAAATATAGATTGTATACAAAATCTTTTATTTTTTAACATAGGAAGATGCTTGTGTATATGCTTGGAATTTTTTAACAAATATATGTGACATACCCCAAAAATATTTATATGTAACATATTTTGGTGGTAATAAAGAATTGGGTATTGCTCCTGATCTAGAATGTAAAAATATTTGGTTAAAACTTGGTCTTCCAGAAGGTAAAATTCTACCTTTTGATATACAAGACAATTTTTGGGAAATGGGTCCATCAGGTCCTTGCGGACCTTGTACAGAGATACATGTTGATTATATGAAACGACCTACCAATCAAGCTGCACGAGTAAATAAAGGATATGCAGATCTTATGGAATTATGGAATATAGTTTTTATACAATACGAAAGGTAAGTTATATGAATTATTGTTGATTATTATACATATTACTTTAAAGCTTGTATTTGGTTACTTGACTTTTGTCAATTTTGAGACAAAGTGTGTTGAATTTATAAAAGGAAAGGTTATAAATATTTATGTTTAAAAAAATACATTGCAATTTAAAAATTGAAATCAATCTTGATTGACCTTGATGCCGTTACCTAAAGTCAAATTCTTTTTTATGAAAATGTGCCTTTCTCAATACTGTATACCTTCATAAAAAAAGGATTTCGATATATTGCATGATTTCTGAATCGGAGAAATCCAAAAACCAATTGGTTGATTAAAATAAGATACCCTGTATATATATCATATGATATGCATCACAATATAAATGTAATATAAAAGAATATAGTTTATTCAATATTCTGATATTTTATGTTAGGCTTGAGAATGGATGTATAGTACCTTTACCAAAACATCATGTTGATACAGGCATGGGACTTGAACGATTAGTTACATTACTACAAGGAAAAACATCTAATTATGATACAGACATTTTCCAACCAATATTTTGTGCAATACAAAAATATACAAAAGCCCCAGAATATAAGGGAACATTTAATAATGATGATACAGGCAAGATTGATTATGGTTATAGAATTCTAGCAGATCATGCTAGAATGATTACTGTTGCATTGGCTGATAATATGTTACCTGAGCAACAGTATGTGGTTTTAATATTTAGATTTATGTTATTTGATAATATATGTACATACATGGATATACATATATATTATAGATTATAATAAAATGAAAAATAATTAAAATTATCATATGTGCTTTTCAGCCCAAAGCTACGGAAAGTATTACGAAATGCAATAGACACAGGAGAAAAAATATTTAGAAAAACTGACATACTTGCCCAACTAGTTTGCGATGTAGCCGATAACTTGGGAGAGGTTTACACAGAACTACACAATAATCTTAAACAGGTAACATGAAATAATACTATAATATTATTCTCTTGTTGAAACATATTTTATATAGTTTTAATATTAATGGATACACCATTAGGTAAAAAGAATAATAAAGTTTGAGGAAGATTTATTTAATAGATTGCGTAATGCTTCTAATAAAAGATGGAATGAAATGATTAAAATTCGTCCTGAATTAGCATCAATCACTGATTGGACAGCCCCTGGTTTAGTTGACGGCTATAAAAATCTACAGACTATGTTGAAAGAGTTGTAAGATATCTGTATAGATATAATAATTTTATAGATAAGAATATTACCATTTAGCAAACGAAAAAAATATATATTATATATAATATTAATTTATCTCATGATTGTTACAGGTGTAAAACTAACCTATTACCTGGATCTGTTGCATTTAAACTGTATGATACATATGGGCTTAATTTAGAAACAATAACAGAGTTAGCACAAATTGAATCATTACACTTTGATGAAGCTGGCTTTCAGAAACAACTAGATATTTCCAGATATCAGTCAAGAATTGGTTTCAACAAAAATAATATTGTATTTACTGAGAAGTCTTTAAGAATACTTGAAAAAAATCATATGCCTAAAACGGATGATTCATTTAAATATAATTATACATATGATGGAAATGACTATAAGTTTCCAATGCTCAATAGTAAACTTATTGGCATTATCATCAATGGTAATATTATGGTAGATCTGCTTAGATATTTCTTCTCTCTCTCTCTCTCTCTCTATATATATATATATATATCCCTGTATACATATATGCATGTATAGGGAGTTGATTATAAAATTATTACATATAACTTGGTAGAAAACTATATTCATTTTATATGTTATAGGGCAACTAGTTACGGATACAAATTCCCATATTGCAAATCTTAATGATGTCAATAACAAAATATCTATAAATGTCAGTGACATATTAAATAGCAAAGATGAAATTGGCATTATATTGGATAAAACTATATGTTATTCATTGGAAGGTGGTCAAGTTTCAGATCAAGGAAATATACATATCAAAAATCTATTTTTTAACATTCATAATGTTAGAAAAATAAATGGCTATGTAATTCATTTCGGAAAATTTGAAAAAACAGATATACCGTAAGTAATCTTATTTTAAACTTCCATAAAATATATTGTAACTTACGTATAATGTGTGCAAAGATCAACGTATGTACTTTGTAGACCATCGGAAATGTATTTGGAAATAGGAGATGATTGCTTAGTTAATATAGATTCACAAATTCGAGTTGATACTATGAAACATCATACAGCAGCCCATTTATTAAATGCAGCCATGAAAGAAGTTATGCATACTGTTTATCAACGTGCTTGTACAGTTGATATGAACAACCTAAAATTTCAATTCAATCCGTTTGGCGAAAAACTTACATTGGAACAAATGAGAATGATAGAAAATCGCATCAATAATGTTATACAGTCTCATGTTGCAGTAACAGTACAAACATTAAACTCACTTCAACTATTAGGACAAGATGATATTACATTGGTGCCTGGAGAAATATATCCTTATACCGATATCAGAATTGTAGAGATTAATGCTGAAGACTTGAAAGCAAAGTTAGTGAGTTTAAAGTTTAGATTATTAACGAATTCATCGAACTCAGATTTAACCAATATATTTAATTAGCCGTTTAATCAAGCGTTTAATTAGTGATTATATATGTTTAGGGAAGCATGTTGTGGCACACATGTACACAACACAGGCGTATTGCAACATTTTTATTTTGTGACATATACCTCAAAGGGAGCAGCAAAATGCGATGTTAAAGCTGTCGTGGGCCCATGGGCTTTACGTATAAAACAAGCTAGTGAAAAAATACAACATGAAGTTGCAAAACTAGAAAATATTTTACAAAATGACAAATTTATTACATATGAAACTTTTGATGCCAAAGTGAATCAAATACAACAGGAAATTAATGAACAAACTGAACCAATATCACTACCTTACTTATTTAAAGTGGAATGCCTGACACATTTAAAAAACTTGAGCAAAGCAAAATGGCTAAAAGAGAAAGAAATTGAGAGGTACGCGATATATTATTTTGTGTATATATACCCAAATATATAATTTATCTTAATTTAATTTAATTCTTAATCAACATTTTTTATAGAACTTCAATAGATTGTGAAATTACTACTGTTACTGATTCATCTCATTTTATTGTACATTGTTTAAATAAAAATCCTACATATTTGTCGTTGCATGAAGTTGTATCCCTCTTTTCTGGGATACCAGTATTGATTCTATCTCATAATAATGGATTTATGAAGGCACGATGTTCTGTACCACAGGTATTGTATTTATATATAATAAACCACAATGCAATATATAATACATATTTAAATTAATATTTTAATTAATACATATTTAAATTAACAAATCTTTTTTTTTTTTTTTTTTTTAAGAAAATAATTTTTATAATTTGCAGAAAATGGTTTCTGAAGTATTTAATGCACAAACTTGGATGAACATTGTACTTAAAATTTTTAATGCAGAGTATGGCCCTATTAAAGGATTTGCACCCATGTTAATTGCAAGTATGAAATCCAAACAAGTATCACATGATTATATTGAAATATATGTGAAAAAAGCTATTATAGAGGCTACTAAGTTTGCATCAATACATGTAAAAAAAAGTTAAATCTATTAATAGCAAAGTTATGTATAACGAGTATTTATAATTATAAATTCATCATTAATACTAAGATATTGATAACAATAAATTTATACACATAATTTTAATTCCCACCTTTCTCCTTACACTTGCAGCCTTCCTTTACCTTATAATAAATACAGGAAAATTTCGGTAGGTAAGTTCGATACTTTTAGGACTAAGAGTTTTTATTTTTCTGACGGGTCCGCAAGATGTTAAGATAATTTTAAGTACCATGTACACAAAAAAATCGGTGGAATATAGGTAACGAATCAAATCAGTAATATTTAACAGAAAGAGCTGGATAACAGGATTGTAGTAAACGTAATATTAATTGCAAATTGACTCAGACAATATTACTTTTATTTATATAATAATATATAATATATTAAATAATCTTAATTAACTTGTTAATTATTACTCTATAGCTGCACATGTTTCTCGTAAAAAAGTTTTAGTGCATCCCATTGTGCTGTATGAAGCAATATATGCGGCCTTTTGGTTCGCATATAATCTACTGCTTGCTCGGGTGTCCAATTGTTTTTCTATATAAACAAAATATAGAAAGAAGATATTTTATCTTCAGTATGATCTAAATTATTTTATGTTTAACGATATAAATGATCTCACTATCATCAAGTAGCATCCAACTAACGTCGCACTTCTCGTTCTTCCTGCTTTACAATGAACGTAGACTGTGCCATATTGATGATAATCATCAACAGTACCTGGACTATTTAGTTTCCGTACTGATATGTTACAGAATTTATTAATAAAGTTTACGCCATTTTGCAGTTTTTCTTGACAAGGTGCTTGAAAAATATCTGTTGTGGCTAGTTGCAGAAACTCCACATTGTGTTTGTTCCATTCCTGAGGGATGTGAAAATTATTTACTTATGAATATAAAAATATTTTTAATGAATTGTTTCATGAATTTATACTTTTCTACTGCGTACCTTCTTTGTATTAGATAACAAAGATAATTCATAATCTTCGTTCATAGATACAACAGCTTTAATATTTTCATCGTCGATTAACTAAAATAGAAAAAAAAAGAATAACGCAAAGATCAAAATATATAAAAAATATGTAAACATTGTAATTTATTTATGTTAATTAATTGCATGCAAGATAATATCTGACGCTAATATCCAAATCCGATTTAATATTCGGATATTTCTTGATATATACGTATGACGCATATATGCACATACATTTATAATTAGATAATATCTGTATAATTTGCAATGTAATTAGATCTCAAAAGTACCTCAAAAAAACAAATTTAGTTACTACGGAAATCAATAACGCATGGCAAATATTATTCGAGTATCGTCCATGATTTTGGATTCTAGACATCCGAGATCCGACATTCGAATATCCGTATATTTATATGTCCGTATAACAAAGAAAGATACCCGGACACAGACATTAGTAACGATATAATATATAATAATATTTACTGTTGTATACTAATATCTCTTTATGTTATGTTTTATCTAATATTTACAAAAAGAGATATAAACTACGTTTTCTACGTTTAGAATCGTATTTAGTTTCAAATTTGTCTCATGTTCTATCAAAGCTGTATTACAAATGGTAAAATAAAACACAATTTTATTTTACATATATATATATTTATACATTTTTTTATAGAATTATATTTGATATGTATTAAATCGAAATTTTCAATGACATTTTTAAAAATAACAAAGATAAAATTGTTTTTGTACCAAACATACCTGTTTTGTCATCCATCGAAACGGTAAGGCACCTAATATGACAGTTTCGTCTATTCTATCATACCAATTTCGTGTTGTAATTTTTTCCATGACGATGTTGTAAAACAAGGTAGGATAAAACGTTACTCTCGCAAACATGTTCACTAAAAAATAATTCTGAGATACGTTATATTGTATGATTTAAAACAGTGCTCGGAATTATACTTTCATTTTTTAAACGATTTCCGAAAGTTTTTCTCTACTTATTTTCCTTTACTTTCTTCTTACTGCACCCGCATATTCGGCGGCCATAGATCTGATAGTCGCCCTCTTCGCTTCAAGGTCGTTAATATGATAATATCTAAGAAGCGTTTATCAATAGTTATAATTATAGCTCATTTTATAGCTATTAATATTTCTGATGAAGAGTGCGAATGTCATCTATGGTCCCTAAAAATGCAGATGAAATAAAGGAAAATGAAAGAAAACTCCCGAAAATCGCCCAAAAAGTGAAAGTAATTGCGAGCACTGATTTAGTTCTCAAGATACATTGCAGTTTTCATATTGAAATTTAACACGTTTACTAACATACGTTCTAACATATGTTAGAACATATATTAAAACAAATATATAATTTCTTAATCTTTCGAATAAATTAATTTTACTTAATTTTCGTGTTTCACTTTTCAATTCCTCGATTTTTTACAAAATGATACTCTAATGCGGTCGTGATATGTGCACAGTTATCTCGAAAATGCGGTCTTCACAACGTGGAAACGTCTTTCATAGCAGTAGTAAGTTGACACAGATGTTGACCTACTCTCACATCACCGTAAGGTGAAGGTAACAGAACAAGAAAACTATGGTGGGAGAAAAAACTTTTGACGTAATAAAAGCATATCATAAAAGATATCTAGCCTTTGAACTGGTGGTTTCCATATATTTTTACATTCAAATAAGTACATTATACACTATGATGTACTAGCAATTTTACCAAATATATTTTTAGTTTAACTAATATATATGATAATAAATTCAAATAATTTATAATATTAGAGAAACATATACATGCATATTATATATATGTATATGTGTATATATATATATTATTAGGTTATATATATATATATGTATATATATATAACCTACATATGCATATATGCGCACACGCGCGTATGTTGATATCTAGAATATGTTAAAAGTATAAAAATTATTAACAAGATGTGAGAACTAATAAAATTTTTTCTCATGGTCCTTTTCCTTTATACAATAAAATATATTAAAGTTTAAAGGATATATCATCAATGAACTATACACATATAAAACTATATTCAATAATTTTATATAACAAACATATTTACATATATAGTACATTGGTTATTATTAATTAAATTGATCTAACACTGCAACCTTAAGGTGATTTTAAGTAATTTTTATCTAAGCAATAAAATCCCAATTCTCCTTTCCTAAATAAACTAATGAAATAATCTGCTGCAAATTGTAAATTTGGTTTAACTTCTAGCCCAAAAGGTCCCTTTATTTGTATTGTTTTTTTAAACTTTGCAGCAATAAATGTAAGCACATACTGCACATTATCATTTGGTTCAGACAAACCTAGTTCTTGGGTGTATTCATATCGGCTTTCTTTATTCAGCCAGTATAGCAAGTAATCAGCAAGTGTATATGATCCTACCACATGATCTTGCAAACATCCAACTAAAGCCAATTTGAGACCACTATGAATATCTTTAATGGTAGGAATTAAAATACCTGGTGTATCAATCAGATACACAGTTGGTTCTTCCGATATTTTTATATGGGTTAAAACAGAGCGTGTAATACCAGCTTCTGCACCAACAGAAGTGGCTTTACCCAACGAAAGGTTATTACTCCTTAAACGATTAATCAAAGAAGACTTCCCAACATTAGGTACCCCTATAACCATCATAGTATAAGATAGTTCTCCTGATCTATTGTAACGGTTTGAATTTAATATTAATTTTTTGGCTAAAGGCACAATTTTCTTGGTCTCTTTACAATGTTGATTTTTCAAATTTGTAAATAATATATTGGATAGTCCTTTTCTATTTAATGTAGAGACTATACTTTCTGAATAACTTGTATCAGCTAGATCTTTTTTATTCAGTATAAATATATGTGGTTTCAAACTTGTCAGAGTTCTTGAAAAATCTGCATAATGCCCAGAAATTGGTACTCGTGCATCATGGACCTCAAGAATACAATCAATACTTCTTAGTCGTTGTTGCATCTGTCTCAAACCTTTCGTCATATGCCCAGGGAACCATCTTATTGCTTTTTGAGGATCAATTACAAATTTTTCTCGCAAATTAGCAACTACTTTACCTCTCAAGTTTGGCATTTTGCGAGTTTGACAAATTTGTTATATTTTTCAAATAATTGTCCTGTTGCTTTTAAAATCCTAAAATATTAATATTTGATTTCATGAAAAAGTAATTGTGAAAAATACGGACCTCCTTACCAATTTCGCTGAAACTTTCCACAATTGTGTATTTTAATGCGTAAAATGCGATTTTGAAAGAAAAAAGTATCGCTTTCAAACAGATCAAACGTTATAAAAATCTGAAAAATGACACATATAGAGTTAGGGAATCTGTCATGCCGATAATACAGACTAACTGAGAAACATATACAATGCGTCAAAGTGTAAAATAGTACATATAAGCGGGGAAGGGTTCCGCCCTTCCCCCATATCCCCTCCCCAAAGAAATCCTAACCTAACTTTTTGCATCTTTATATATTGTTGGGCGTTGATTTTAAATATTTTAATATTTTCAACAATGCCTAACAACGTATAAAGATACAATAAGTTTGGTATGGTTAGGATTTCTTTGTAGAGGGGATGTGGGCGAAGTACCTCCCCCACTATACGTACTTTCCTACACTTTCCGACTAAACGAACTAAAAAGAACGGAACATAAGTCTTCATATTACCGGCATGACAGATTTCCTAACCTCTCGTGCATCATTTTTTATCCCTTTATAACTTTTGATCCATTTAAGAGCGACACTTTTTTCTTTCAAAATCGTGTTCTACGCACCAAAATACATAATTGTGCAGTTTCAATGGAGTAAAGTTTCATTGGTTTCATTCAAATTGATGAGGAGGCCCATATTCTTCACAATTATCCATGAAAATTAAAGAGGTTCATCTATTTATATTTATGTAAATATAAAAAATATAAACGTAAAAATATATTTTATACACATATTTACATAAAAAACAACCAAGGCCTGGTCTACAATGTTCGATTATTACAAAAATAATCGGCTATAATTGGTCAGTTCTTACGGCTTATAGCTTACAACACCTATTGTAGACCAGGCCTAAGTTTCAAAAGATATACATGACAAATTATTTAAATTGTGGAAGACATAACTTACAATACTGAAACAAACGCTACAATATCACCGTTATCAATCAATCTATAGCTTGGGCGATATACTTAATTCACATAATGGAGTTACACAAATTCTGAAAAAAGAACTGCCATCAAAACAGCAAATTCGTTTAACAAATATGACAAACGAACTGCTGCCTCAAATTGACTTTAGTGGCCTCATGTGGCAAGAATGTGAAAAAGCATTTCTATGCTAGGTCACCGATGGTCACCGATGAGATACTGTAAAGCCCGTATCAGACTACGGATTGAGATTGAGTATTGGATAGAAATTTAACTAATCAGGGCTAAGTTTACTATATTTGAGATCATTTTTTTTTACAATTGGTCAAATTTCAATCCAATCTCAATCCCAATCCGTCTGATACGGGCCTTAAGCCCGGGATTGAGATTGGATTGAAATTTAACCAATTGTAAAAAAGAAAATAATCTCAAATATAGTAAACAAATATAGTAAATGACGACGTAATGTTCGTCGTCGCCGCGACGAAGACGACCGACGATGGAATGTTTGTCGTCGCCGCGATGAAGACGACGACGGAATGTTCGTCAATGGTTCACTTATTTCCCTTAAACAAGTTCATTGGATTAACAGTTGCGCTGTTCGACACTGCACTGAAAAAACATGGGAAAACCGTTTTGCAAACGAGTGAGAACATTCGAAGATATTATAATAAGTAAATAAATTACCTTTTTACTAGACCATATTTATTAATGCATTGCATATCATTTTAAATATAACATTGTTCTGAGGGTGTTCTCATTCAGTACGGCGAAACAGACATATTTTATGAATTTCTTTTTCGCGCAGATAGAAGATTTCACGGATGTAATTATTTTTGGGGATTGTTTAATACTGTTTAAAAAATATTTGTTAATTTAGATATTGTAGTGAAAGCAACTCAGACAACACATGTTCTCTTAAGGACGTTCTGAGGATGAAGAAATGTCCCCAGGACGTCCTCAAGACGTACTCTGGACATCCTTTGGACATCTATACTGTTAGGGAAGATGGTTTCAGTTCGTACATTCTTGATTTTGTTACAATATCTTTTTATATTTCATTCTATAACCTTGTACAACTTAAAATTCTTCATATATTATTAAACAGTTCCCAACAACGAACAAAACTATAAAAGTATAAACCTGTCCGCTTCCACAAAATTATTACTGAAATATATTTCATTTTCTCTGCACGGGACATTATTAATATTATTATTTATAATATTAATATTATTATTTAGAATAATATTCGTGTGACATAGATAGACCGAGCCGGCTGTGTGCATGCGTGGTGAGGGAAATCAGTAAAGAATTATGGACACTGGCATCGTTAGTTCATGCACGGTTGTATAGAGAGCGCTTCGCACTTGGTTCGGCTAAAAGCTACCCATGACCCTTCTCCTTCTTCTCTCTGTTCGAAGCATTTCTCTTTCTTGTTCTATTTTTCGGATTCGAATGAAGGGAGAGAAGTAAAAACGCTTCGGGGCATTTGTAGCGGTGACTGCACCCTAAGTATAATATATGTTTAACCCTATAGGGAATAATATGTAAAAGTTTTAAGAAGCAAAAAAAAATCGACACGTCCGACGCAAACGCCAAACATCTAATGGAAGAGCGAAAAAAATGTCACTAGGTAATAACTGTGATAAATCGAAGCTGAGTGGATTCGTTATCAGATGTTAAAGAATATCCCAAGATGAACTTGTGACCTAAGATATAAGTTCGATGGGCAGCAAAGTTGATGACTAAAAGATATCCTTTGATGCGACAAGAAAGAACCAATAGTTCCTTGACAGAATATGAAAATTGTGGTTAAAAAGGACAATCCTTCCCAAAGGAAGACCTCTGGCAACCTTAGATCTAGGTAACAGAAAGCTGGAAAGGAGACCTACCGCTATAATTACTATTATTATTACTATATTACTACACTATGCTTACACATATATATGCTGCTATATTTGCTATGTTGCACTACACATGCGCGATAAAGATGTTCATCCAATATTGGCATAAAATGGCGCAACTACTACATATAGCATACGCGTCATATGAATAATAATTTGAGTATAAAGGTATGTCTTCATGTAAGCTTAAAAACATCGTATCGGGCGTTTGCGATTGGTTAATTATCTACTGTCGCAGTTACAAACAACAGGAAAGTGACCAATCGAGAACAATCGTGGACGCGATTGGCGTGTGATTGCGTAACCAAGCGCAGCCTTTCGCATTGGGCTTGCGCAGCCTGCGCTCGCGGCCGTGCGAAAGTCCACATGAGCCTGTTGCCAGTTATTGATCCTAGCGCGATTGAACAACACTGCATTGCCGTCAACTACGAAAACAATTCTCGCCACGTCTCAGTCGTATTCGCACTCAATAAATCGTTAACGCAAAGATTGATAAACGCCCTTATCATACGCGTGTTATACGCGCTCGTCTGTTACTGTTTCTATTAGTACGTGACACCGGTGCGCGACGCAAGACGTGAGCACACGTTGCGTTACCGAGGCTCTCCATCGACACGTCTGCTAACGTGCTGTCAAAATGTAAAGGAATTCCCAGCGTTAGTAGCAGGTAGTGTTTGCTGCGTTTGAAGAGTCTACGACGACGGAGCTATCATGTCATCGGATTTCCGCGAATGGGCTTAAACTTAAATAAAAGATACAACTTAATTTTTCAATTTTACCTTTGAAAAGAACGAACGAGGAAAACGCGAGACGGACGGACAGGTACACGAATAAAAGGCGCGGTTGCACATGTGATTCCTCCGTGTAGCCGACCTTATTTGGCAGACGCGATGAAGAAGTTCACGATCAAGGGTGTACTCGACGGATTCCGGTCGTCAGTTCCGCAGCCTGTTAAGCCCGACCAGGAAATCATTGAAAATCTGAGACCGGAGCACTTTCAAGTTAAGAGGGTCAGTACCGATACGCCAAGTGTAAAATGCACATATTCGTTCGCTCGGAGTAAAGTGGACCTGCCAATGCTTGTTAAACTTGTTCCAAGTACCTAGCGGCTTTCCCATTGTAGTTAGGAGAACTTTTCAAAAGCCTGCCGATGCGCAATTTACGTCGGTTCGCAATGTTGCGCGGAATGCGAAATCTGCTTTCTATGATTCTAACTACCTATCCAACATAACCTGCATTGTTTTCTTTTGTTTTCCGTCGGAATTATTTATCGATTGAGTTGACACAATTAAGCATTCGATAATTTAGCTACAAAATAAACAATTAAGAGATCTTTTCTTAGAGTTAAAACAGCTAGAAAAAAGAAAACACTTCCCGAGAAATCTTCAAACACAGTATTTAACCAAAATTGATATAAAATCGACTAAAATTAATTACTGCTAAATAATTGGTTGTTTTTATCTTCAAGTAAAAAATAATATTTTTGCAGAAATATATTTCATTTAAAATAATATTTTAATAATTATACAGTCGATCTTTGCTATTAAAAGCATTATACCTAATTTCTATCATTTGTGTAATTGCGCTTTTCTCGAAACGACATGTGCTTAGAGAGTTTGCGACCAGTGTGTATCTCAACAATTATTTTACTGATTTGACCACAGTTGTATAGTAATATTTTTAAACATTTTATTAGTTTTCTAACATACTAATTGTGTAAAATTGTTTTTCTTATTAACAAAAATAAATCAATATTTTTTAAAAGACAATTCTATTTCCTTTGTAAACAATCACCATTTTGTTAATGATCTAAAACAGAAAATATCGTATAACATACAGGAAGTATTTTATTTTATTTATTTTATTGTAGAAGAGACATTACTCTTGATATTATAATTTATAAGCCTGCCAACACTTTGGTCTTAGACTATCCAATTGAACATTGTAGTAGTCATTATGCAGCATTTTGAAAGCCAGAGCATGAATGTCAAAAGTGAAGAAAATGGGTTAAATTTTGGACATTGTTGTTATTTCTTGAATTAATCAACAGATATGATGCATGAAGGTTCGAAAAATATAGACATGATGTGTACGCTGTGAAAATGTTTAGTAACCTCAAATTTAGGAAGACATTCATGCTTGATGCCTGGCACGTAAACCTCGTGATAACTGTCGATACTTGTATATTGAAATTGCATTCGCTAAATTAGTATGTCAAAACTGTCTCGTCTATTTACTCTAGCAAGTCGTTCGCAACTATCGGCCAAGTTGATATCGACTATCGTGCGTCGATATACGTTCCTGTGAATATCCGTTATGTGGTTAACAGAAACAGATAACGATACGTAAATATTACGACGCATACACACCTCTGACAAATGTACTACCGATTAAAACGTTTGCATTATGTGTTATGCGTTATGTATTTTATTTTATTAGATGTGTATAAAAATTCTTTTATTTTATTAGATGTATGTAAAAATTCTTCCTATTAAAATTTGGGAGTTAATTTTTGCTCTAAGTTCAAATATTCCCAAATATTTTTAAACATTTGTTGCGCTGTCATTTGTCCTATTGTATTAAATCGAACTCGAAATGCATCAATTTTCTATTGAAATTATCGAAGTCTCGTTGTCTTTTTTCTGTGACATTGTGATTGGTCTTCTCGATGCGCGCAATAGGCAATAGCATTTGCTTCATTCGCGAGCAGCTGCCGTCCACGTACGGAGATCGTGTTATGACAGATTGGACGATAAGGATGTTACTATTTGCGTGTGATTTTATTTTCAAAAAGCATATAATGTCATTTTAAATATAAATATCAGAAAAAATGCGATAAGAGTAAATAAAAATTTAAGACTATCTATTCCTATTTGCTTCCTTCTATTTTGTTTATTTTTCTTACAATATAGTTTTTTTCAGCACAAATACGAAATCGGTGTATATTACAAGTGCATTTGAAGTTATTAAAATCTATTATAGTAAATATTTTTGAAAATAACGTCTACGAATAATAAAATAAAAAGTGGAATCAATAATCGAAAATAGAATCAAATAATAAGAGAAAAGGTCAAGAATCAATAGTATTCGTGATAAAGAAAATTTATAGAAGATGCGTGTGACAGATCTGTCAATACACTGGAAGTTATGATGACCTGCTCTTATGGGAGCATTTATAGCTATAGACAATACTGCCAATAAGGAACTGCATTTTGCGCTATATATTTAGAACTAACCTAACATAACCTAACCTAACCTAACTTTAACTAATGCGCTACTTTCAGCGCATTAATTTCGAAATTTAGTATAGACGAGTTAAATCTTAATAATTAGTCAATTGCAAAAATTAAAATTTGATTAATTATCTATTTTTTATCTATAGCGAGTTTTAACGCAGTAAATGAAGTAAATAAATGATTTTATAGGAAATACAAATTTATAAACTTATAAGATGATTAGTTTTTAATTATTGGTCATGTAATTTCTAATGTACTTTTTTTTGTAAGTGAATATAATAGAAAATAGTGATGTTAATATTCAACTATTCAAATATAGAAATTATTTTATTTGTATTGAGGACATTAATAAAAAATAATATATGGATTCTGTATATATAATCTACATTAAAAAAAAAAGAAATTATAAAATACGAGAAGATGCGAGAATCTGACGGAAAATTAGATATTATTTCGCAATATACATTCATTTTAAAATATGCACTGTAGGAGCTGCTAACAAAATGGAAAATAAAGTTTGCGGCAGCGTCGCAGCTGCGTTAATAATATTATGATATAATACAAAAATGAATAAATATGATTTCTGCATTGGTATTGTAGGGTAGGTTATATATATATGCAATATTTTCTTCAGTTGTACTTATTGGGTTAAATTATTTATATTATTAGTGCTCTCTTTCTCTCTCTCTCTCTCTCTCTCTCTCTCTTTTGATAGAAATATTTAATTTTTACCTAATTGAATATAACATAATTTAATCTAACAAATTCAAATAATTTCTATATTAGTAATCCTGTATTAAAATCCTAAATTAAAATATACATTTTGATATATATATGATATATATAATTGATATAAAGAGAGGAATACTGTTAATATGTTAAACAAAGTACGTAACAATTCCTTACAGACATCTTATATTATATATAACTTATAAAAATATACCCGTAGGAAAAAGCACCTATAAAAAGAATAGAGTAGAAGCTAACGCACGCGCGGCAGTTTTTACTAGTGGGAAATTGACACTAACCTTGATATTGAGTCGATGCTATACGCTACTTGTGTATGTTTTGTTGTACCTATCATTTCACTACATCACCTATATACGCATTGTTGTAACTTCTGAACCAAATCAGACATCAATTTTGTCCTTGTCCTATTCCATTTTCATCACATCTCGAAAATGGCATTGGTTGTTGCCAAACGTGTAAACTCAAGCGAATTATTATTTAATGAATAACAAATAATTTGATATGTTAACATAAGCCAATAATACAATTAATTATTAGTAATGACAAAAAGTCAGGTAAAAAAAAGATCAATATCCTCTTTTAAATATTTAAAAATATGCGATAATGTACACTAGCGAGTTAGTTCTCATTTGCTCTTTGTTGTGATTGGTTAATTATTTTAAATCTTGATGTGATGAAATAATTATTATTTCAAAAGTGATTACATTAGTGAAATTTGCAAATTATACATCGCACACGCAAACTTTACAGGTTCATATACGTTGCTTAATATGTTTTATATATATTGCCGTAATTTAATTATAGTGTAATAACACAATTGAATATAAAACGCTTTCTACTCAACGTTAGTTCAAATTCATCGTTGCCATTATTGCAGCCATTACCATTATAAAACGAATTAATTTCTACGACCGCAAAAGTGCATTCTCTGCAATGAAATTTTACGACAAACTGTTTAAATGAAACGTGATTTTTTTCGAATTTTTAAACAAGCGATTTAATTGTCGTTGGATTTCATTAAATATAATATACTATAAATATACTATAAATCAGTATCTTGTAACTTAATTGTAATATATTTAAAAAATCAATATTCTCATGCAAAATATTATTTTCTATTTTGTATTTGGAATATATTTTATTATTGTCACAATGCAATGTTTTTACCTCAAAATTATGTCTTGCAATATTAATAATGAGTAACCAGTGTCATACACTGGTCCAGCAGAAATTACTAAAGAGTGCCTTCGGGGATTCAAAATCGGGCATTGGAGTAGGGCAGGTGCTGCTGGGTGCTCTCGTAACTTTCCTATCATCGTATTTTAACCTACTTCTCTAGCGGTGGTGGTGGCCGGTGAAATGGAACGAGGGCAGTTTTCACGAACAGCGAAAAGCAGTAGTCTAGTCTCGCTGCACCAAAATCGATCTCGAAGCATATATTCGTCAGTCGACGCTCTTCTCCCTTTCAGCTAGTTACCAATAACTTTAAATCAAGTTCCTTTGTTCATCTATGCGACCATCGATCGTTCACTTATCGGACTTCATATTTTTTACATTTTCTTTTGTATCACAAGCGCACATCGGAATCTTTTTATCGGAGCCTTAGTTCATGTATTGCGTTCTTAATTTTGCGAGTATAATATGACAATGACTCGAGAGTAAGTTTGTTTTACTCCCTGTTTTGCATTTTTTAAATACTTCTTATGCCGTCTAGATAAGTGTTATCTTGCAAGTGTATTGCGTATGGTGAATTTACGAGCCTTGCCGTTTTCGCAAACACATTATTATTATTTTATGTGTGTGACATAAATCTTATTCATATAAAAATAAATATGTCTTTTAAGATAAAGGAATGTACGTTTTTAGAAATCGGAGGAAAGTTGCGTTTAGTTTTATTTCTTCCATGTCATTTTCTCTTAACGAAGATCTTTATCGAACATTAAGATACATATAAGACTGCTGATAAAATAAATTACTGACTTTAAAATCTACGACGAATAATATATATCACTAACATTTATGTATCATAACGTATCATAACAAAAGTATAGAATTAACAGCAGCTAGATTGTCCACGGAGTACACAATAGAAGCTCGTGAAACAATACTGTCCCTCGTTTGATATATCTCCGCAACCCCTTGCAGGAATGAATAGTCTTTCAGACGACCAAAGCAGGAAAGATGGCATGAAACAGATGCCTTTTATGTTGCAGACATTCAGACATGGCTTCCCGCATCAACCGACAGCGTTGGCATTCGACCCAGTTCAAAGGCTCCTAGCCATTGGCACTAAGTCAGGATCCCTCAGGATGTATCCTTTGACGTTATCGTTGATACGAACATACCGTTATTAAGTATATATATATATATATATCCCTCTTTCTGTTCATCTTCATCATATTCTCCTGTAAACGATTATATTAATTCAGAAGCACAATTGCTGTAAAATGTATACAATTACTTGAAACTCTGCATTTTGTCAAACATGAAGACTATAATTAATTATATTCTTTAACGCGCTTTTATGTTACCTAAAAAAAGAAAATTCGGTGATGAACGGTTTGTACAATTTTAGCGAATTAATTACACGGTCCTGTCGGCTTGTGGTTCTTCGACCGTGTGTTTTTCACGTCAGTGGTTTTATCGATCTATCACGGTTAAAGTGTAGCGATAGATGCTCATCGCAGTTCGATGGGCGCACTAACTACCGCAATAAACGCGATCACTATATGTGGAAAAATTCTAACAAGCGCACTATCAACTTTTATACAAGTAAAATTTGTGTGTTTCACATTTTAAAAGAGTTTATTTTTCTTCTCGAATAATAGTTAATAAATTAATAAATGTTTCAGCTACCAGTAAAATATTTTTTACATTAAAAACCTTCAACATTTGATATTTTTATTTTTGTGATATCTCGAGTATTATTACGGTATTGCGACGAGGAAAAATAAAAAGAGGATATTTATGTTTCATTATAAATACATCAAATTGTTACATTGCTAACATATTACATACTACATATAGCTCTTGTAGTGATTTTGCAATGTATTTGATATATGGTTTTTATTTTCCTCAATAAATTTGATATTTGGGAAAAACAGTTTAGGTAGACCGGGTGTAGATGTGCATGTTAAGCATGAAGGATGTAGCGCTGTGATACAACTACAGTTTTTGATCAATGAAGGAGCATTAGTATCTGCAACAGCAGACGATACTTTACATTTATGGAACTTTCGTCAGAAGATACCGCAGGTCGTACAAAGTCTAAAATTTCAAAGAGACAGGTTGGTCATTAGTATGCGTTACTGATGACTTTTTCAATATTTTATACTTTGAATTTCTTTCTATTATTTTTACATACATATTTAAATTAAATGTTGAATTTTCTGGTGGTGATATTGGCGATTTAAATGATATAATTTATTCTCGACAGAATTACTTGTATTCATCTACCGCTTCAAAGTAAATGGTTGTACGTCGGAACAGAACGAGGAAACATCCACATACTGCACATTGAGACATTTGTTTTATCCGGATATGTAATTAATTGGAACAAGGCTATTGAAGTGTAAGTCTATATATCTTTATTAATTGCATTTAAGTAATTAATATGCGTGTAAAGTAGTAGATACACTTAAATATGTATCCGTAAGATGGCCGATGTGATAAAAACAAATTATATCTATATTTAATAATATTATGCTGTTGATAAACGCATGTGGTAAATGAATTCCATATGCTAATATTTCTTCAATATTTTTAATTTCATTAATGGTGTGTGTGTATGTGTGTATGCTCGTGCGCGCGCGTGCATACACACACGCACACACACATATGTTTAAGATTTTATAAGCTTCAAGGTAAGTAATTGGAAGTAGGTGACTATTAAGGCTCAATGTAATTAGTTTCAACGACAAAAGAATTTCTTAATTAAAATATGAAGTATTGCATAGTATGTCACTAGTAAAAAATATAAGAAATGTGCTCAGAGTTTTTATTAACGCTTGATTTATTAGGTACCGTTTTAATGAAATTTGCTGCAAGTTGATGAACAGGTTGAACAGGTTGCTCTTTGCCTCGAATTTCTTTTAGGAATATATCTGAAAAGATGAGTGAAGTGCATTTTCAGATCCCGTTTCCACTAATTCCTATAATTTCTGTTATCCTAAAATGTTATTGTCACGATCTCTTCGTGTATATTGATAAAGTTTATTCTTCTGCATTTAATTTATCGATATCATTGAATAAATATATTGTAATAAATAAGTTAAAATACAGAGACACATGAGATGAAGTTATAATGAAACATAGTAATTAAAGTTTGCACAGGCAAGTTTTATATATGCTTTGCAATAACACACGCAATAATAATTCCACAGATATGTGTGTGTATATACATATATATGTATATATATATGTATTTTTCAGATCTAGAAAGACCCATCCTGGTGCTGTAGTACACTTGAGTGATAATCCTTTAGATTTGAGCAAGGTACGCGTGTTTTTTAGTATGTTTTTTTCATTGTTATTCCATCCTTTTCATAATTTCACGATAAACGTACAATTTTGTCGTGACATATGTAAGAGAGACGTATTACGTGACATTGACGTTTCTTCGATATTTTTTACAAACTCGTATTATTTTTTGACATTCAAACAAATAAATGCAAGTGTGTGCTTGCATGTGTACGTGTGCATGCATGCATGCTATCACTATTGCATATAAAAATGAATCTCGATAACGTCCATTTTATAAAAAATGAATGAAAAAGAAGAGAGAAGGGGAAGAGTGGGGAAAATCTATATTCTTTATCAATTAACATGTTTATTATCATAGTCGGCATCATGACCAGTAAAAATGGATATAAACTGGTTCTATGAGTTGATTGTGATACGAATAAAAGTCATGCCGCGAACATAATCACTCATCTTTTTACACATTTTATGTCCTTTAGTTGAAGGTTTATATAATAACATTTCTATTACAGCCTTCATAGAGATATATCTTATATTTACGTACTGATTGTGAAATCATGAGTATATGATAAAACATTAGACAGGCTACACACGGGTTGTGTTTGCAACCTCCCTTTATTTTTGATGTTGCATATTTGATTTATAATGTAACATCCATATAATATACGAATTATTAAAGAATTTTTAATCATAAACTTTTAATTTTAGTAAATGATAATTTAATTATATTATAATTTTTTACAGTTCACATTGTGTCGACTACGAAGTAAATGTGCAACATAAATATCTGCCTCAGTTCTTCTAATTTTGTCTCCAATTACGGAGGTCTTTGTCTACGTGATTCGTTCTTCCTCAATAATCCATACATATCATACGATTATATTATCTTCTGAGTTGTACCCTCCTCATAAATATTACAAACAATATCGATATATTACCGTGTTCTTTATATTCAATCTCTTTATGTATATCTCTTTATGTATACGCTAAATGCATTATTGTGATGCCCACATGTTTCTTGTTCCAAGTAATGTATAAACTTTTAATAACAGTATGTGCATTTCATACGTGTGGATATGTTTTGTTTTCAGATGCTCATAGGATATGAGACTGGACAAATTGTTTTTTGGGATTTAAAAACAAAGAATGCTGACTACAGGTGTCAGACCGACGAGCCGTTAAAATCGATAACATGGCATCATGAAGGTAAACAATTTATGTGTAGTCACACGGATGGTTCTCTTTCAACTTGGACTATTCGACAATTAAAGCCAACTAACGTAACGTTCCCACATGGTGAGATTCCAATAACAATATAATTCTATTATATATTATCATTATTTACAAGAATTGCACATTAATGGCTATTTTATAGCAAAGTCCACTAAAGACGGAGAGCCTGAATCTTGCAAACCCATTCAAAAAGTAGAATGGAAATTATCAAGAGCCGGGTAACATATATTTAAATTATTCATTTATCTATATATATTGTTATTATATAATACAATAATTAATAATAAATAATCATATATGTGTGTATATATATATATATATATGTGCACGTGCGCATATATGTATGTGGAAATTGTTTATTCAATGATCAAAATAAGTTTACTAAATATAACCGGCCATTAATTTCAAAGCATTATTAACAAGTTAAATGTAAATTTTTATTAGGGAAGCATATGTAATATTTTCTGGTGGGTTGGCATGTGATACTACTGGGAGAATACCGAGCATTACAGTGATACATGGGAAAACTACTACGGTACTCGAAATGGAACATAATGTTGTAGACTTTGTAACGCTGTGTGATAGTCCATGGGCTAGTGGTACAGTAAAACACGCACTTTAACAATTATTATATAATGATTATTGTGTTGCTTTTTTCAAATTTATTATTTTTTATTATTTTTCAGATTTTCAAGATCCTTACGCTGTTGTTGTTCTATTACAAAATGACTTGGTTGTGATAGATTTGTTAACTCCCGGATTCCCTTGTTTTGAGAATCCATATCCTATGGATATTCATGAATCTCCTGTAACATGTTGTGCATATTTTGCGGATTGTCCTTCAGACTTAGTACCAGCATTTTATTCAGTTGGATCTAAGTCGCAAAAGAAAACTGGTTTTAGCGAGAAAGAGTGGCCTATTTCCGGCGGAGAATGGAGTTCTAGTTCTAGTAGCTATAACGAGATTATCCTCACTGGGTAATATTATCATAGATATATATTTATAGTAACAGATGATAAATTTATTCTTTTCATTATTTATAGTTGCATTTAAAACTACATATATAGATATATGTTTCTTTCTATTATAAGTTAGATAATGATCAGAATATTTCTTAAATTTTTACATTTATATATGATCACAGGCATGCCGATGGCAGTATAAAATTTTGGGACGCTTCAGCGGGAACGCTGCAAGTTCTTTATAAACTAAAAACAGCAAAACTTTTCGAAAAGAGCAGAACACGTAGTATAGATTCCGAGGAAGATCCTTTAGCGATTCAACTTATTTTTCTTTGTCCCGAAAGTCGGAAATTAGCTATTGCAGGAAGCGGCAAACACGTCATATTGTTTAAGTTTAAGAAGGTTGAAAGTATGTCCGAAGTAGTGGTAAGTTATCCTACTCTTTATTTCGTACGCTATTACTAATAAATTTAAATTGTACAATAAAATGATGGGAACGGTCGTAACAACTATTTTTCGATGTTTTCCTTATTCGGATATTTAACCATATTAAATCTTCATTATATTAAATCTTATCTAAACTTATTGCATTTACTTCACACCAATTTTATTTTTCACATTTTTTAAATATTGCAGACCTTGGAGATATGTTTAACGGCAGATCCAGGGAGAGAAGATTCACCGGACCATGAATCGCCAGCGACTGGGAACATCGTGGGAAATGTGGAATCAAGAAATACAGATTTTAATCATCCACTCAAAATCAAGACGGGTTTGCAGAAGAGAGCTGCTGGTTTTCAAGCAACATTGATTTGTTTGACAACAGCACCCAGTGGAGAACAACCTGAGAATATAACGTCGCTTAGTTTAAATTCTTCATATGGCTTGTAAGTGTGCAACATAATCCACATATATACACATACACGCACACAATGAATAAAAAAGAACTTACTTAGCAACCATTGTATATGTGTCATAAAAAATACCAAAGTTGAATATTCTAATATTTAGATTGGCCTATGGAAACGAGTCCGGTTTAGTGATAGTGGATATCGTGCAGAAGATTTCTTTGATTGTATTGAACACTAGTGATCTTGGAGGTGGTGCTGATCCTTACCAACGTGTCTTGCGTAGTCCCAAACGGCAGGATGAATCCAAACGGGAAAATGAGGACAAAGCAAGAAGCCCGAGTACCGATCAGGTAAAATGCATTTCTTTTGTTACTAGAACCATGTATATTTTGACATATATATATTTCCCAGAGAACCATTTCCCCAAATTTCTACTCCTTTATTTCATTTAGGGAAACCTCTCTTGGAATCTTTATATCCTAGCGTCTTGCATTTTGCTTTGTTCAAATACCAACATTATTCTTCATTGCATGATTATAAGATATTTATATAATTTAATTGCTGTGGTTATGAGAGAGTCATGTTTGTGCAGAGAATATCATAATTTAAAATTTCATAATTCAATGGAACATCCTGTTTTTCCAACGCTAGAAATATAAAGTCTTAACGAAACAATTATATTGTGTTTCGAGAAAAATGATTATTAGCGTATTATATGAGCGCATGGGTACGTGTGCATATATAAAACCTGAAGCGGAGCTAATGACTTCTTAGATGAAAATATTTTTATCTATGTAATATTTTTTAATAATTTCTAACAGAGGAGATCGTCGTCATAACATTTAATAATTGATCAGAAACATTCTATAAATTAGTTAATACAATGATGTACAGTAACAAACGTAATTTGCCCAATTTTATTGACATCAAAGCACATTAAAACTATAAACATAATTATGGACATCATTAGATTTCAGATTCAATATTTTTCAGCATGAAAAAATTAAATTATATCATTTAGTTTATTAATCACTTATTTTTTTATTACTACAACCATAAATATAACATATTTTTTTAAATAGATAGAAAATGTTACTTATTAAATTATTTATATTGCAATCAAATTTGGATAGTAAGAAAATATTACTAAGATATCAATATAAGATATCAAGTAACATATGCATTCAGAATACAACTGTATGTGAAATATTAAATACTTATTGCATTATATATTTCTATTATTTTTATCTGAATAGTATCATTTATATACATATCTGGAAGGAATTAAAATACAGTTGTATCTTGGGCAAAATAATCCGTACTTTTAGTTTATTTTTATTAAGAAAATTAATGTTTGGTTTAATAATGCATTTAATCTTATTTTTTTATTTGTTAAGTTGGATGAAAATACGCGATTAAATAAATGTATTATAAAGTATTTTTAATTGCAAAGAATAATTTTATTGAAAACTATTGGTCAAACTTGTCATTTTCCATGTGCTGAAAATTTATAAAAATTTTGTATAAAAATATAAATTTTTAAAAATATAAATTTATAAATTATGTTTTCATAATTTTCTTACCTTGCATATTATGTGCCAAAAAAATAAAAACTTATCACAAACATAGATTACATAACACCAATATATCTAAGATGCTAGATATTAAGGTAATAAAAATATTAATATTATATTTCATTTCATTTCATTGTTAAAAACTTTTCTAATTATAATGAATAAATTCAGCTATGTGAAAGTCAGCTGTGTGATTAACATATAATTAATGTTAAATATTTTTTCTTTTTCACAATTTTACAACTTTGTATACATGAAGAAGCAATGGTCTTTTTTGTTATACTTAATATATATTTTGCATTTAATATTTAGCTAACTATGTGTCTACCATTGAAACAAGTAAGATCATATATATTTTTGTTGAAAAAAATTGTTATAGTTTCTTTGTTTGTGCAATGTTGTTCTATTAAAAACATTAATCTTATTTGAGTAGGTAGAAATCGATAGTATAATATTTGGTTTTTATTAATAAATATGTAATTAAAATGTGATAAAACATTGAATGTAGAAATTGAATACTGATTGAAAAATGAAGGAGTAGGAAAAATATAGTTAAAAGCAGTGCTAGATATGTAGTTATTTAATAGATAATAAGGATAACAAATGGTTCTCACATAAACGTTTGATGAAATCTATGCATGTGCATAGATTTTATATAATAAATGTAAATGCAAAATTTACAAACGTATCATCAAAGTAATAAAGTAACATAAAGTAAGTAATTAAAGTAATCAAAGTAATAAGTATGTAAGTATTATTACATAAGTTGACGTTATAACTTATAATTAATTTTCCTTGAGAATATATATATATATATGTGTATATGTATTTGTGTGTGTGGTGTATAATATGTATATATGCGTATGTGCGTGTACACATACACAAACAAACAAACACATACATCTATATATGTGTAGTAATGATATACGATGATATGATTTATAATATTTTCATATCATCAAAAATTATTATTGATATACATAATAATGCATGAGAAGAAATATATTCAGAACCTAAATTATTCATCAAACACTTTCCATGTTCAAGTAATTTAATATATATGTATCATATATAAAATTATGAAAAGTTTGTCAACAAATCTGAAATCAAAAATGAGCTGAAAAAGCACCATTTATCAAGAGTAATTATGCTTGAAGATGATACCAAGGAAACGTTAAAAATAGAATATTATTACCGAATAATATTCTTATGCGGGAACTCTGTATATACACACGTTTCGATTTATATTAGTTAAAATTAATTAATGTTGTATTTTTGGTAAAGTAACATTTGATTGCTAGTATTATATATTGTGGTACTATGTTAGAGAAAAATGGAAAAGTTATCAGAACGTATATTTAACAAGTAATAACATTAAAAAAAATCTAACTAAAAAAAAGTATCTTAAATGTACAATGATTTTACAACATAATCAAAATGTATTTATGTAATGATAATTACATGTTTCAGCTGTATATGTACATCACATCAGTAAATATCAGCATTACTCAATTATTGGTGAGAATTCTAACAGGTGATTAAAAGTACACCCGTATACACAAATGTTACAAGTAAAATTATTTGATTTCATCAAATATTCTGTATCTTTTTTTATTAGATATAATAATATAATATATATTTTATGTTTTAATTAGAAGTTTACAAGCAAAATAAGTATTGGTTTTAGAAATATTGACATTTGATATACGAGGTCTGTCCCAAAAGTATCCGACCTCTGCATATATCTTTGTCCTTGGCTATCCTATTGTGGAAAATAGATATTCAGTATTTAAGGTGGATCTTTAGGAATATCCCCACCAAGCGGCACGACCCAACAACTGTTCAGTCGGCAACGGTATGCAGTTGTGTGAGCGTCGAAAACTCCGAGCGTCGCATTTCACAATGACTGAACGAGTCGAGCAGAGAATTTGTATTAAATTTTGCCAAAAACTTGGCTACACATGTTCCGAGATAATCGGCATGATCCGTAAAATTTATGGTAATGACTCTATGAGTGACACACAAATAAAAGAATGGTTTAGACGGTTCAAAAATGGCCGTGTCTCACAATCAGTGGACAGTGATCCTTGTTCCGGCAGATTTTCAACGTCGAAAACAGCGGAAAAAACGTGAAACGTGTGCGATCCGCAATCAACAAAAATCGTCGTTTGACTGTGTAAGAGTTAGAAAAAGACCTTGGAATCCCAAAAACTATTGTTTCTCGAATATTGACTGAAGATCTGGGAATGAGTCGCGTGATTGCAAAATTCATTCCACGAGTGCTTACGGAAGATGAAAAGAATTCTCGAGTTGAAATTGCCGAAGACATCCTGAAATCCATCAACAAAGATCCAGAGTTGCTTAAAAGAATTATTACTGGCGATGAAACATGGGTTTATGGCTCGACCCTGAAACAAAAGCACAATCTTCGCAATGCCTCGACCCAAGAAAGCGCGTCAAAGTCGGAGCAACGTGAAAGCAATACTCACTGTTTTCTTCGATCAGGAAGGTGTTGTACACTATGTAGTACACCATGAATATGTTTCACATATTCACAAAGTCGCACAATAAACAAGGAGTATTACTTGGAAGTTCTTAAACGATTGCGTGACGCAGTGAGAAGGAAACGTCTGCATTTGTGGAAAAGTGAGAACTGGTTTCTGCACCACGATAACGCACCTGTTCATTCATCTCACCTGATCCAGGAGTTTAACTAAACACGACATTGTCTAACTTCGTCAATCTCCGTACAGTCCAGATATAGCCCTGTGTGACTTTTGGTTATTTCCTGAGTTGAAACATCCGTTGAAGGGCAAAAGATTTGACGATGTCGAGAAAATAAAGCGAAATGCGACGAGGGAGCTGTTGGCAGAAGGTCATTGCTTTAGAAGGAAACTATTTTGAAGGCGACGTTGTTCATATCACTCCGGAATAGCTCTTTCTCATGATGCCGGCAAAGGTCGGATATTTTTAAGACAGACCTCGTATTACTGTGTATAATTATTTTTTAGTTTGGTTTCAGTTAGATTATGTACATATGTAATGGTTAATAAAAAAAAACAAATTAGATCAGTTGCTAATAAAACTGTTCCAGAAATAATTTAATGTATATTTTGTTTTGTGGCACAAAATTTTGTGAATGTTTGTAAAAATTATAATTTTATTTCGCTTTATTATAATTGTCAAGTGAATTTGTCAAATGGTGCAGTATCTATATTTGTATTATTGCTTTTGCTAATTAATTATATAAACATGTAACATTTTTGTATATGCCTCTATATATGCTCGTTTTATTTGTATCATTATTTGGTACTGCCATCTTACTGATGTAATGCATACATTATATAAAGTGTCACTTAAGTTCATCTCTTACATTTCATTTATCTTTAAAATAAGTGAGGTGAAAGTTACTAATAAAAAATAGTTCAACTACTTACTGAATACTTACTAAATTCTGTTCTGTAAAGAAGGTGACCGATTATTTTTGCAATATTTATATTCGCGTATAGGCTCAGTAAATATAAATGTTAATAACATGTGTATGTATAGAATATATATGTATAATATATACTATATATACTACGTGAGTGTGCACGTATGCGTGCGTGTGTGCGTGATTTGTTATTCAGCGAAGTTGCAAATACAGAAGTCTACGTTTCTATGAGCATCTTAGGCATTTAGTTTATAGGCAGACGAATTCATTTGTATCAAAATTGAATGTCATTTTAGCCTGTCTGCACTCTTCAAAACAAGATTTTCACATTCATCTTGAGCCTAGGAAAGTGACAAGTGACCACATACACATCAGAATAATTTTTTGTTGAAATTTAATATTGCTCTTCGTCTTAGGCATATTACAATTTAACGTGTTTGCTTACACATACGGCAGATCATGTAATAGCACGATGTAAGGGATTAGTCTACACCACTTGGTGAACACTTACGGAACACAAGCGCAAAAATTGCACAGAAACATCTTTAGAGTTCTTAGAGATAGGTCAAATATATATGTTACTTCTTTTTGTCTGCGAACTGATTGACCGTACAAAGTCCAACATCTTAAATTCATCAGAGTCAACGAGAATCCACAATGGAATCCGAGCCAACAATCACAAGGATAGCAGATTCTACACAACAAGTACAACAGCAACAATGTCTTCGTAATGAAAGTCAGACAAAGATCAATAAGGATAAACCAAGTGGAGAGGAATCCATAAACGAACCTAATAAGACAGGGAATCTTCCTAATGGCGACGAATGTCAGAAAAGTCAAGGTTGGAAGAGATTTAGTCTCAAGAGACAACTAAGCAAGGTTGATTTGAAGATAAAAAATACTTTTACACCATCCTTGGTATCTTCTCAAAATGGGGTACTTGTATGCTTTATTTATCGTTCTTTATGTTAAAGCAAATAACTTTGCGAGTCTATGTCGACACGCAAAATTCAGTAATCTTAAATTTTTTGTATTTCTATTACTATTCGATTACGTCTTCGCGAAATGTTTATTGTATATGCTTGATTAACACCATGACGCGTTTAAATAATGAAAGTCTTACTACATTTCATCTACTATATTTTATCAGCTATGCTTATACATATTAACATATTGCTGTATATATTAAAGTACGGCCATCACACATCGCTATATATACGCATTTCATAATATTTATGATATGTATTCACAACTGTAGCATAATAATGACATAAAATCATCGAACATCTTTCTTTTTCAGCTTATAACTTTATCAAAAATATGTTTTATCTTATAAACTCGAAGCGCTTGCCGAATACCGGAAACCAGTTTCCATACTCGATAGTAGCACGTCCTTTTGTTTCGTAGATTTAATGTCGTTTATAATTTACAACATATGTTTTTATTTTTTTCGAAAGAGCTCATCATCGGGGCTCATGCAAGTACCCCAGTGCCAACAAATAAGCAGCGATACTGGCAGCCAAAAGTCTTCTGTATTTTACTGCAACATGAATGAAGCAGCCAGCACAAGTCGTTCACTATCGCCGGTTGAAAGTATTGATTCTGAATCCTCCTTATCGCCGGAAAATCAGTCCTCTGGAAGTGACAATCCACAGATACACGATGGAAAGCGAGACATTCAAGATACCAGAAGCCCAATAGAAAGCACAGATGCAAAGACAATAATGACAACAGCGACGATTATGACAATAATAACGACGACAACAACAATGACAACGACGACAATGTCAACGACGATGACAACGATGACGACGACGATAACGACACCAACAACAACAATGACGATGAACAACGACAATATTAATATGAAAACTGAGGCAGTGAGGCCAATGAATTTATCTTTACCTGAGCACGAAGTAAAACCACCAAGACTGAGACGTATCGCCAAGATGAAACAAACGAAAAGAGACAATCGCTTGCTCTCAGTGCCAAATTTGAAATTTTCCAAGAATGAGATGACTATTTGCGACCTAAGGTGCGAAGAGAACGTTACCTCCGAATCGTTCACCTGCAATCTTATGAGAAGATTCAGTAAGTGTTTGTAATTAATGTAGAAGAGCGCTATGTGTCGTCCGTGTGTCCTTAGAGATATGACTTAATTAGATTTTCACGTTAAGTGTGAATGTGTGCGTAAAATTAATCTCATTAACGGTCAAAATCTTTCTTGATCGAGAAGTGTGCGATTTAACAATGAAACTCTGCATCTATATTTGTGACTGCGAACATGTGGTGGGTGTAGACTAACCATAGAGAGAGCTCGGCTGGTCCTGGACGTGCTTCTGCCTCTTATTTCTTTCTTTTTTTTTTTTTATTAATAAAAGGCCTAGGATGCTCTTAGATGCGTACAAGATTATTTTCAGAAGAAATATTTACATGATTCATTCTAATCACATCTCCGCCAAGATTGGGTAAATTATTGTAATTGGTTGATCAAACACAAATCTCCAGTTTTCAACATATAACTTCATACATTTGAAACTTAATGAGATTTAATGTTGACCTATTTATATAGCTAATCACAAAAGTTGGATACTTAACTGCATATGTAACAATAAAGTATAAAATGATTTTCATTTATTTACTCAATATTGGATCTCATTATAACATGTCATCATCAAAGGTTTATGTGAAACACACATCAGTCAATTTAGTTAATAACAAGCACTTCTATCGCGTGAGTTCTTATAAAAGAATCATGATAAACTTTAAGAAAATGCTAAACATTATGAACAATAGATTATATAAATAGATATATATATTATATATTAATAGCTTTTCTTTCTTTCTTTTTCTATAAAACGATATGTATATATATATATATATATATATATCTCACATAAATCAAAACGATATATTTATATATATAAAACTAAATGAAATAATCCGCAAATTTTCATATTATAGTTATTCATTATTAGTATATTTTATTTATTGCATGTCTAATAGAATTCATCAGACTAGTAATGCTATTAAAATGCAATTTAAATATTGTTGATACATATCCCTATATTTTATTAAAAGTCTGAACAGTAGCAATTTATTTCATGTTCATCATGTATTTCAAGGGCATGTGTTACATGTGTTTGAATATGCAGTATGAAAGTAATTACTTACATATATATACTACGTATTTATTTATTGTCTCATTTATATAATTTTTATTTAAATATAAATATAATTTCCGCGATCATCTTATTTCTTGTACTATTAGATATTAATGGAATAAAAGAGATGATTATTTATAATTATCGCTTTTTTTTAAACAAAGCTTTGCATACAAGAACTCGATAATAGAAGCTTTGTAAAACTCCATTGATTACAAGATTTACTAAAATATAACGTAATTGGTTAATGGATACTTTTTTTATAATTCCATATAGTTATGTGGAATAAGAGATTGCTGTAAGATCTGGTCACGCAAAATGTAGAGTCTAATATAATGGTCAGTCAATAAATTTATTCATAATTACGATAAAAACTCATCAAGATTGTGGGAAGTGTGTCGATGTTCCTTCGATAATGAAGAAACAATCTCAAAATTTGTAGAAGAGTGCAGACATTTCTCTATTAGAGGGTAATGCGCGATATATGCTGAAAACGATAATTCCATAAAACATAGCCCTGATTTCGGCCAGAAAATGCCTACATGCACTATGAGTTCACGCATAAGCAAGAAATTTTCAAATTTATAAACTATTAGTTAAGCGACAAGGTCAGTGTTACGCCTTAGTATAATAGATACAAGTTCCGTTGTTCTTCATACAAAAACCAAGATACAAATTTGTAAGACTATTGGGCAGACTGCGATGAATTATGTTGTAAAATGTGCAAACAGAAATTTTGCCGCAAACATCTCTGCGTTGTTACATGTTGAATTTGCATTCACAGATATGGTGTTTCTGGTACTATTTTCCGAAAAATCCATATTAAACGAAAATATGTCAACGTTTCTTACGTATTTATTAAATCGCATCGATTGTGTTCCCTTAAGGAATTATCTTATCGCTCTTATCTAAACCAGCTCTTATCTAAACAATTCTTAGTTTACAACTCATTTATTCTAATGATCGATTAATAGGTCAACAAACAGATACACGCCATCATACTTAAGATTTCTAGTATTCTCTTACCCTTAGGTTACCAGTACCTGGAATGCATAGTAGATACTTTGAGAGTGCATTACTCCCGTTTGATCCTTGGTATCCATTGGTGTCAACCTCGTTTCAAGTTTTATGGCTACGTTTATTCCTTGCAAACATTGATCTTATGCTCGCAAATTTTGGGAAATATTCCCACGGGAATATCAACAGGAAGTAACTCGACCCTGTTCGTACCAGCGACAAGTCTTTCATCCACACTTTACACTGCAATGCGAATTTGAAAAGATTCTACTTTAACACTTTTTCAGGTTCAAATCAATTTTGCGGTCTTCCCTGACAGCAAGCTCGATTCAGGTAAAAATAAGGTTTTTCATATTTTGGCAGTTGTCTTACAACCGAGAGAAAAGTACACTCCTTGATACTAAGGTCTCAGTCAAGATATACAGTTACACATTACAAATTGACAGACAGTATTTTTTTGTCATGTAGCTCGGTGACAATAATGCGAAAAACGCGGATTATTTATTTATTCCTGAAGAAGATGGGATCGATATTAAACATATTTTCATTTGTTTTTAAATTTATACATACAACCAACGCGTATGACTTCTCTCTTATATTTCCAATAATTACTCTTGTATATTATCCACAGACACCTTTCTCTCGGTACAACATTGCTTTTAAAGCTTTTGGAGATTTTTCGATGGTTTGCACGCAAATAGCAATAGTAATAATAATAACACTGATGGTCGTGGCATCATCAATGACAACAAGACAAAGTCATCTCTACATTTTTCTTTACTGAGGAAAGTTATATATATATATATATATATATATATATACGTGTGTGTGTGTATGTGTGTATATATATATGTGTATATATATTAATGCGTGTCGTAGGCAGTTACTCTTTACAGGACGCTTTGCAAGTCCCCACATTCTTTCTATTTCGACATTGACTGACTGCTATAGAGGACTCTGCATAATATGCTGATATTCCACATAGCGAACTAGTATAAGATATATACAAAAGCAGGCGTTTTGCAATATTTATCATTACAACGTGTCTCTTTTACGATATCTTCCATAACGTCATCCTTAATATAGACAATATACAGACAACAACAATGACTATTATTCCGTACAAAATTTGTTCGACTTTTCGAATAGTCGAAAAAATAATCGAAATTGTTCTTTTAAGCAAAAGGAAATTTCGATTTGTTCTTATGAAGGGATCTCTATTGTTTATGTCCGTGCAACGTGATAAAGATACGAGATAAAAGGAAAAGATCTAATTTTTTTGAAGATTTTGCTTAATGAAACTTCCAATAATTTTATAAGTATTTATTCCTTAAGGCAAATTTTCGCATATACATATATGCGTGCATATATTATTTAATAATGAATAATATTTATATAGAATAGTCTTTTTTACATATAAGTATTATGAAACAATCAACAGCTAAAATAACCACATTGTTAAACATTTTTATTCTAGTTCAAATATATATCTAAGTTATCATTTCAGCTTCATTATTATATTTAATAATATCTTTGATTTTTGGGGTGGGAATTTATTTTATATATATATATCACACAACGTGTATGTATACGTGCGTGTTTACACGCACGCGTGAATGTAGCGTGAATGTATGTATGGGTGTGTGTTGATATATACACCGACAAAACTTTTATGAAAACGTTTATATAATCCAGAATTTGTCGTAATGATATATTTTATCTTGATGTGTACATCAGCATCTATTTATGATTATTTACGATACAATTTTATCTGACTTTGTTAATGATATTATTACGAATTATAATACGTACACAGATGTGTGTTACTTCATTTGATAAAACTTTCATTGAGCATAAATAATAAAAAGATTATAATTCAATTTATTTCACCGTAACTAATTAATATTATAATAAAGAAGGGAATCTTTATACTTTTCTTTTTCTCTCTATATATATATGTATCTTTCTTTAAAATATGGAAAAAAGTTGAAATAGCTTCGTGTACACATTTTACTACTATTGAATAAACGATAACATCTTATGTATCGCGTAAGATGCGTAAGTACAATATAACAATCGTCATCGAAAATGAGAGTGGAAATGGCTTCTCCACGCACTTCTGCTACTTCGTTTCAGTGGAAGTTTCACAGAAGCCCGCGTTCTATCTCCTTGAAACATTTTCACGCAAAAAAACTCAGTCCGCACATAATTTTATTTTATAATCGAAAGCAGCGATATCGCGTCGTATGCTTCTTCTACGTTTGACTTGTCACTGATTTGTAGATGAACGGGATGTGCGTATTGCCGATGACAGGAAGAAGTACAGTGGGTGTTGTTGGTGAGAGAAGTGACATTCGTGATAATAGTGATGGTTGTAGCACCGGTGGCGGTGGCAGTGGCGGCGGCGGCAGCAACGACGTCTACAACAGTGACGGTGTTGGAGGATGTAGTGCTGGTGTTAGCATAACTCGCTCGGGTATTCGTAGTGCTGTTGGCATGATTAGCGGTACGGATGAAGATATTAACACGGTGTCTCGCAAGGGTGTCGCGTTAGATCCACGTCACCCACGCACACAAGGCATAAGGAAGCTCCAGAAGTGTCTGAGTACTGCTACTAGTCACTTCGAAGTGGATTCTGTCCCGGGCGCTGCCGCCGTTTCTCAAACGTCTTTGAACTACCAGAATATCCTCACCAACACCAGACAGTATAGCAGCTTCGGTAGTATTATCGACAGCCAACTGTAACTTTAATTATTTATGCTGTATGAACTACGTAGACCACCAACTATCTCTGTAACACCGAATGAGAAAGCTACTCTTCTCTCTGACCGCTTGACTTTCAGTTTCTTTCGTTATGAATAGAATGATTCTTCTCAAAAAAGTTTTTCAAACTCGAAGAGTGCTGGATTTCTCGCGCAGCGTTGTTACTTACAGTATGGTACTTACAGTCTGTATTTCGTTTTCCTCCATCTTTTTTTGTTCCAAGCAGCGTCTAATTACACATATATATGAACAATAATATAAAATAAAGCAATAATTAGAATTTTTTTAAATTTTGTCACGTACATATTTCTTTTCGAGCTTAACTTTTCCTGATACTTTATTAATATAAGGTATTTTTATTTCTATATTTTATTCTTTAAAATCAACTTTTATCAGATTTTATTTGAAAACTTCACACGATTTTCAGTAATAATTTTAGTAATAAAATTCAGTAATAATTGATATCACATCCATGGTATTTGTTAAAATAACATTATTATAGTATGCCATGCGCGTTTCAGATTATTCGTAAAGTCTCTAACATTATTGTAAACAACGTTGTTCTTGAAATCCTCTCGGCACGACATACATATTTTTTTTTGTTAGAATCAATAGATACTGTCTGGTCTTTATTGATCTGAATGTGAAAATTACTTCGGTAGCTCTTACTACAATGCATCTCTTTCTTTCTAACTTGTACGTGCTCTCTAGCGGATCTTTTCTGAATAAACACAAAATGGCACATCGTCTGGATTGCGTGATCTCTAGTTGTCACACTGCACCCTCGAAGAGATACTCTTCCCTACTGTTTGCGTTTTCGCCTATGTGGCAAACTTTTGAGTTTTGCTTCTTTTTATAGATGTGGTCTAACGTTGCATCTGAAATAATTACTTCTAAGCACATTTAAAAAATGCACACTATACGACATATCGATAATAAAATGGACTGTGCAAGATAAATGTGCAAACAATTGTACATCGCGAAGAGACCATATATTAACATTTATATCTTACAACCTTGACTAAAAAGGAAGAAAAAAACAAATATTTTTATCGTCAAGATTTTTATCGTTAAGATAAGTTCTGTCGTATTTACAAACCGATTGCTTTATACATTAATGTTATATTTTTAATTTGTGTGTTTAATTGTGTTATGTTACGCGAAAATTACGTCAATTATTCAACTCTTTTAAAATTTCAAACTTTGTTAGAGCCTATTTTTTACGTTTTACTCTTTACGTTTATTAACATGTAATCTTTTTAAAATATTTTATGCATATAAAATCGGAATCTCCAGTCTTCTACAAATAGACTTATTTCAGTTTTATTGAGTTCTTTCACGTTGCGTTCCAGTTTTTATTTTATTTGGAACGTATTCATCTTGCAATATGTATACTATATGGTGTTAAGCAGTATACTGAATGTTACTTATGTTCAACAACTGATACGTTACTTAACAAGAAATACTCGACTGTGTATTTCAGTTACTACTGTGCAAAACTATTTATGGTTTGAAAACATACACATCAGATCAAGAGCAACTTACAGATCTTCTCTTGAAATTTCACCACAGGCTTACATTGGTATAAGTTGTATCAAATGTATAGATTTGATCCGACTTACATTTACATTACAAGATCAGTTTTATCGGCGATATTTTCGCCCACAGAAATTACTTAAATATTTGACACGTGCATGCAAGAGTGGTTCCTTATACCACTCATCTATTTAACATACCTCAATTAAAATAATTAGGTCTGTAAACGCTACTCTCTGCGCGCTAATTTGGTATGACACTTTATGCGTGCGTGTGTGCGTACGTGTAGGTGCGAATGTGTCTGCGTCTTTGTGCGTTGTGTGTAAGTTTATGACTTTGACTTGATATTCATAAGTTCCGATAAGTATAAAATGTATGAAAGATATTCATATTGGAACTGCTCAGTCAAGGAATCTTAATTCGTGATAGTTGTTGTTGTTGCTGTCGCTGTTATTATTATTATTATTGTCATCATCATTATCATCATCATTATCATCATCGCCATAATCAGCATTTTCATTCTCAGTCACAAACATTATTATTACTGTCCTCTTGAAGCTGCTATTTCTGATAAATGTTCTGACTTCGCTAGTTACACTCTGCGATATACACTATGTAAAGATGATGTGCAAACGTGTAAAAAATAATCTCAATGGTCATTATGCATGCTTTTTAGTAATCGAGAAAATGAGAAAGTTTTTTATTCTATTAATAATCGGTAATTTTTTGTTTGGATTGCTGGTCGGGTAGATAAATTTGATGGCTCTTTCCAACGATCAAGGAGCTCGAGCATGTCGTCTCTCGAGAATATCACTACAGAAACCATAAGCTGCCTTACATTTGCGGATTCTTATACGAAAAAAAATGGTACGTGATTGTCCAATATATATTCCATTTTTAAAAACCTTAAATTATTTTAATATATTTAAGATATTCGAGGAGCTCCTTCTACACAACACTCCGTACATATTATTTATATTAATATAATTATTTCTTTAAGATACAAGCGGTTTGCCAACTTTATGGATTGGCACGTCTCTGGGATCTGTACAAACTGTTGTATTCAATACACCTGCTCATGGAGAACGTCATGCTCATCCAGTGGTTGTGTCTACTTGTAGTAAGTAAATTTTTTTCATACTACATTCGATATTTAGCACAGTTGTCAAATATCATATTTTATCCATCTATATTTTAATGATTAAGATTATATCATGTAGTATGGAATTTCAAATGTCTTTCATTTTATGCAGATGGATCTACTTTCAAACTCAAGGGTTGTATCCTATCCATGTCGTTCTTAGATTGCAATGGTGCTCTGATTCCATATTCCTACGAGTCTTGGAAAGACGAAAATGTGGACGGCAAAGAACGCAACAGTAAGTGTTATTTCTTTTGCTATAATTATTAATATCCGTGAAAATAAAAATCGGCGTATAAACGTAAATCAAACTTCTCCGCGATTTCTTATCTTAATTTTGAGATATTTTATTAAAAACAATTGTCCATTAGTCAATTTAGTTTAATCACGCTTCTGATCCTTTTATGTGTTTCTTTGGGAAATTTTATGTAAAATTTTGTGTTAATATATGGGTGCTAATAACATAAATTTTTATTAAAGAAAGCCAAGGGAAATGCACAAATAGCCGAACGCCACCGCCGACAAATACACAAGTTAGTGGAGATAGTTTTGAAGATAGACAATTCGTCGTGCTCGCATCAGAGAAACAAGCGAGAGTCGTAGCATTACCCTCTCAGAATTGTGTATATAGGCAACAGTTGGCGGAGACTCATATTGTAATTAAGGCGGAGGTTACGACTTTGAAAGGTATTGTCTATTAGCTACGTAATTAAAACGAAGACATAACTTTCATGCTGATGCAATTCTTACGCCGTCGTATTATCCTTACTTTATTAATATAATTTATTATCAAAATATTTCTGTCCAGATAATGTCTGCCTCGTATGTTATGTTTCTAATGGTCACGTAACAACGTATAGCCTGCCCAGTCTTAGACCGCTGATAGACGTCGATTTTCTACCTCTTATAGATTTGAGGTAAGAAAAGTAATATTTTCCTAGTATTTTGTTATCGAAACAACGTGTACTTGCACATGATGCGTTGCACTATATGCTATAGTAAAAATGCAAAATTTTTTACACTTATACATATATACATATATATATATATATATATATATATATGTGTGTACGTATACGTATGTGTGTGTGTATGTATATATAAAGCATCGAACACAAAATATCCTAAATTCAGAATGATAACATTAGCGATAATATATGTATATTAAAACAATATATTTGACGTATATCTATCTACACATACTAATGGTCATATACATAATCTGATCTGTTAATAATACCAACACTTTCGATAATTTCTTTGAACATTTTCAAAAGCATTAATTAGATTTTCAAGAGAAATTGATTAGTTTTGTACAGAAATCGCTTTACTGTAATGCTGCATTACAATTAGTTTTCGTTGCTAAAGAATATTTAAAAGATTATAAAAAATGAGAAAAGAAGATCTTTCGTATATACATCACGGTTAATAAAGTTATTTCTGACGTTAAAAAGATCTTCCGTATACATATCATGGTTAATAAAGTTATTTCTGATGTTAATACTTTGCACGCAGAAACTATGATTGTTAAGTCGAAAATACGATTAATGCATCGTATTATATTAAATTTAAATTTGTAAATACGGTGTGTGTGCGTGTGTGTGTGTGTGTGTGTAATTATTAGAAATCTTTCTATTAGAAAACGGAAAATAGAAGGTAATTTTTAATAAAAAGAAAAATAATGTCTAAAGTAACTCCAAAATTTTTAAAAATCTATTTAAGTCAAATAATAGCCGTGATCTATTGTTTATAAACGAGTTACTTGCTCTTTAAGAAATTTTTCATAAACTTATATCTTTACAGCTTTTATAGTAAAGTTGGTATCCTCTATTTACATAGTTGATCACTATAAATATATTTTTCTAATATTTTATTACTATGTCGACGCATGAAATTGGCTAATCTCATTAAAATTTCGCTTATTCTTATTATCGTTCAAATTTCAGTTTTCTTCAAAGCAGAAAAATATTAAAGAACACGAGTTTGAAATTTAACAAACTTACTACAATAGTTATTAACTATTCATTTTGAAGAGAATATTTTATTCTACAAATTGTTTTCTATATTTTTGACAATATATGAACCAATGATAATGCCAATTTTTTATTGCGAGGCATTTCTATTTTTTTTTTTATAACGACAATTTTTCTAGTTCAACTGAGAAATTTAACTATTTCAATAGAGAATTAAAAAAAAAACAAAATTGCAACAATAAACACAGAGTGTATCATCATTTTAGAGAAATATGCCTATAGAGTTATAGATATACTTAATTAGCTAAACGTTTACTAATGTTAATCATACTGAGACTTTAAACTATATTTGCGAACGATTCAATATAAGACGTGAAAAAATAAATTAATTCTTCTTGATACGCGATCCTGTGCGTGTCTGTGTTCTTTTTCAATTCAAAGTACGATGCTGCAATCCTACATCGCAATAGATTAAGTCTTTATCTACAATATTGGAACACTCTGTATAAATACTATTCCACACTTATACGTGTGAATGTTTACTGATAAACAAATTATTAACCATTATCGATATTGTTGGCATGGCTTCTCTCGGCAATAATAAAAACACTCGTTAACCCTTAACACAATTAGAGCATGCTTAATTCGTAGCATTTCTTATGAGCACTTATACTGCACTCCTTCTGTTTCTTGGAGCATACATGCTAGACTTAAAAAGAGTGGTGTAGCATTGTAAAACAAACCGAGCGGATTCGGTTTCTAAACAAGATTTGCACCATATTAAAATGTGGCTACATGAAAAATGACTTGCACGTTCGATTTTGATTATCTTTCTCGCACGTTTTGAAACTATGTAATTATAAAATGTAAAATGATTATTTTTATGGGAATTTCTTCATCCGTAAGTTCTATTATTCTATCTCTCACTTTGAGACGTCTCATTACGTGTATACCATATATATACAATTTCGACTTGCAAAATCTTGCACTACACAAACTTTCAGGCAACATTTATCATTATCGTCTATTTCACTTACAAATGTTCCACATGTGCAGAGAATAAGATATATCGTACGAAACGTACAAAGAATCTTTTTGAAAATGATTGAGCTGGCTGTTTTAAGGGTTAATGTTAATTATACGAAATGACATAAATCTTATATTAATCGGTATATGGTCGAGCGTTCACTTTCCTCCTGTCTCTGTAATCTCTCACAGTTTTCAGACTACAAAACAGGGCATTGTAGACCCCATGTTGTCCATATGGGGTCATCAACTCTTTGTTAATGGCGATACCGATCAGTAAGTCATCTATGAAATACAGCTCACAATAAAAAACCTTTACACAACACACAGTGTCTTGCGCGCAACATACAACACGTCAATATATACGGTTATACTACAGGCTACATAATAATTACAAGTAGGAAAGTGTTTGTCGCGCCATTTAAACCCTCGATAACTATCGAACTGATTTTCATCATCTACTAATCAGAGCTTTACGCGCTATGTATATAAAAACGCACACTAAACACTCTTTTACAGTTGTACCCTCGTATTGTCATTTGAACGTGCAATCTGTAACTTGTAAAATGACATATTGTAGTAACATTGTTTCGCATATTTTTTTCCAGGATTGCAAAGACGCTTTGCTTCAGTAACCGAGGTCATGGTTTATATCTATCGTCACCTATGGAGATTCAGAAGTTTTCCATCTCAAGCGAATTCTGGTATTATTTTCTTTCTTAGTCTTTTCTCAGTCTAATTGATTAGAAGAAGAAAAGAAGAAAATTTCATGCATATCAAATTGGATACATCTTGCACAAAACATTGAATTTAATACAATCTATAAATATATATTTGTTTTTTTTTACCAGTGGTGAATTGACAGAGATGATGGGTGATTTGTTTATCGGTCACGATATGCCAGAACCGCCCAAAGAGAGTTTCTTCAAAGGTTTATTCGGCGGTGGTTCGAGGAGTCTCGATCGAGAAGAGTTGTGTAAGTAGATATGTTTCTATCGAATTATAGAAATTGTACGGTAAACGTTAAAATGAAAAAAAGTGGAGTTAGTTAGCAAAATCATGCTGAATTTATTGATTATAGTCGGCGAATCCAGCGGCCGTGCGTCGCGCACAGTAGCGAAACACATTCCAGGACCAAATGAAGCTCTTCGAGAACGAGTTTCTAGCGCAACGGGAGAAGTGAATATGGCGCATCAAATGGTTGTAGAGCGCGGTGAGAAGCTATCGCATCTTGAGGAACGGACAGCGCGCATGATGTCGGAGGCTGAGAATTTTTCACAATCCGCTCATGGACTGATGCTCAAATACAAAGACAAGAAATGGTATCAGCTATGAGAACACAACTTGGTTCGAGTTCCATAAAAAATGACACACGTTTCTTTAATTACCTAGCTTGTTATATAGTTTGTGTTTTGTTTTTGAGTTTCATCGTATTAAGAAAATAAAGATTAGACGTATTATGATCTTCACACACGCACATATGGGAAACATCTATATGAAAAACAGAGATAAGGAGATATATTATATAAATGCGATCACATCTATGCGGCGCACATAGTACACACGCACATTCCGTAATAAGATAAACGTGGGGGACGTGCGATTAGAAATTTACATTGGGATGAACAAAAAGAATGCCGGCAAAAACAGAAGCATAGGCATCGTCGCGATATATTTGTGCATGCGTATATAAGAGACGTACGTATAATTATTATTATATAAAATATATAAAAGGTACATATACACACACTTATACAAAAATGTGACAAATGATTGATGATATACACGAGTCAATATGAACAGTTATATGATAATTCGCCTTTTAACCGATGGCACTCGTTGATTCATTCGGACGTCCTGTGAACGATATTTGACGACGCCTTGCCTTGTTTGCTTCTCAGCGAAGAAGATACGTTTATTGTTCAAATGAATTCTAATTGATCGAACTTTGTCAAGAATCGAAGGATTGTCAATAGGTATTTACGAACGTCACGTTGTTGCAGAGGTATAAGCTCTTTCGAATATATAAAATCGAATGAAATGCTAAGAATCGCATTAGTTTTAAATTGACGTAACTTATTAACTTACATATGCGCGCGCGCGCATATGTATGTGTGAGTGACTGAATATATGTATGTGTGGTATAAATTGCGTGCGTAAGTGCGCGCGTGCGCGTGTGTGTATCACATATAAGGGTATATTATTGGAATGAGATAAAATATATATGGCTATTCATATAATATATTGAATAACACTATTGAAATTTGCAGCGTAGTAAATATTTCATGTAGAGAAGAGTTGTTATTGACTACTAATTAACTTCTTATTCCACAGTGTAAATTTTATAATCGTGTACATTATATAGGCTGATTTAAGTATTTATCATATTTAAGTATTTATTGCTATGCGATCGTAAATAATTTCATAAAGATAAGTTAAGATATGGGATAAAAAAAATGACCAATGCGATTCTTGTAACTTCATCGAGTTGTACGAATGCAGATGGAAAATTTGTTGGGCCCGAAAGACACAATTTTACTTGTATCTTAAGAAAATTATGAACGCAGGCAAGACGGCACAGTGACATTATTCCGAATGTATTGACAATAAATGTAGCTAATTAGTCGGTGATGATGAAAATTGAATAAAAGTTGAGTGCAATGAAATATATTTTATTCAGGATGGCGGGTTGTATGTGCAGGTCGCAGGAACTGTTATACTCGCCACACTGATAAGAATGTATTGGTTGTTATCGATTGTAGTTACCGCTAGATATGCTATGTATATATAACGGGATGAATACAGTAGGACAGATTCCGCGTTATAAATCTGTTTATATAATAATACGTTATAAATTATGCTATTTCGATGCTGACGATAAGTTCAATCGGATTTATGATATATTTGAATGACATGAAATTAATTAACTACTGTAATTTAACACTATGCATAGCTTAGATTAATTAAAGACAATATAAAACACAACACATATACACACACACACACACACATACACTCACACGCACACACACATACACACATACATACACATGTACACACGAGTTTGTTTAAATTTATTCGAGCTCTGAATCGTCGTACTGCTTCCATAGCAATAACTGTATAGTTGATGTTAATGGTACTAATCACTCGTATACTTAATAATGTTCCCACAAAAAAGTTAACTGAAATGCATTTTTTCGGATTGATTCGAGCTCATGGTATAATTTATCTTGGACAATATACACATTTAGAAATTCGTTGTCCCATTACACTCTTATCACAGGATGTCTTCACTATCGATTACTAGTACAAAAGAGCGCGAGCTCATTCGTCAAGGTGTGCAAACTGTAGTTGAGGTCCATATTAATGCTGAATTTGTAATACGTCCGTGAGAGTACGCAGATTAGCAATAATTCTGAATTTCGGTGCTGTCTTAGCTAAACTGCTAACTCTGACGGACGTTTCACTTACGTCTAGAATCTTATGTCTAGAATTATTATTCTTCGGATACCCGACACTCAGTATGTAAGCAGTTCAATGGTAGACAAGATACATTAAAAATAAAATATGAAGTATCCTGAACAGATATTGCTCTCTTAATACCCAAATTACAAATTTGGATACGATCATCTTAGTCATCATCATTGTCGTCGTCGTCGTCTTCGCCGTTGACGTAATTTCACCACCATTATTATTATTATTGAAATGTTAAAATAATATTCTAACACTTGTATAAAAATTTTCTTTGTTAGACAAACTGTATTTTGGCTTTAAATAATAAATAAATTTCATTCAAAAGAAAGATGTGTCATCGACATATTTTTCTATGCTAGAGTAGTAAGGGAATAACACGGAGTCATATAATTGACATATATAGTTGTTACTCTCTTTGTTTGCAAGACTTCTTCATACTGAAATTCCCAGTCAGCACAGACCTCCTGAGGACCTCCTGAGGACGTCCCAACGTCCTAAAAATGTGCCCGGGACGTCCTTTGGAGGTTTTGTTCTGTCTGGATTGTTTAGATTTTTTTATATATTCCATTGTAAATAGATAATGATTTTGTGGTTAATTTAATATAGACTTAAAAAAAAGTTTTTAATTTTGAGCCTTGCAATCAAAATATATATAACACGGGGGATGAAAATACTTTTGTCAATTTTAAAAATCTTTCGTCAATTTAAAACGGTAAGTCTTTTTCCCTCGATAAATATTCGATAAAAAAAATTATGCGTGTAAGTCAAAGCTCTCGATAGCTCAGCCTTTTCGTATGCTGTTTAACCGAAGAATACGGTGACTGCTATCGACACCCGACCCGTAATTAAATTAATTTCTGCGTCTCTCCTTCGCCGTTATAGGCACCGGCGTGGAATAATGCACTGGCGCGACGCATTTCGACGCGGTTGCGACGCGACTCGCCGTCGACGAAGATGCTCTCAACCACACTCGTGCACACTTCTCATTTCCAATTTAAAAATAATGAGAATTTACTGCGAATAGGTGAGGCTGTCGCGCACAGATACCCATTGACTACACCAACGTCTCGGCCGCGCGCGAAGTGGAATGAATTGAAAAAATTCAATTTAGCTTCGTGGTACACCACCCCCCATGGTATAGCCGCCAACCCATCGCGACGCGTCCTTTTCCCAACATAAAGGGAACAATAGATCGAAATTTATTTATCCCAGCTATTTATTCATCGTATTTCTTCGAACGAACGAACTTACAAGATATCGACGGTATCGTGCGATAATTTTAACGCCACCTGCAAATTATTAGCATATCAGAATAAGTTGCCCACCTCTTATGATTATTTTATACGAGCAGATTGAAGAGAATTCAAAGTGTCGAGATTCGAGTGTATTTAAATGTTACCGCGGCTCTTGAGATGGGAACGGCGAAAGTGTCACTGAATCCCTCGAAGCGCATTTCATCTTTTCATCCGATTCTGTTGAGGGTTGTCGTTTCTCTTTTCGATTTCATACACTAATCGGTATCTCGTAAATTGAGGATAGTTGTTGCGCGTCTCAAGTGCCATTACTCGTGAATACGCGTCGGTGTTGAACGACATATAGGCAATGTAGTAAATAGGAAACAAATAAAGATCCGAGCGCGTAGCCGGCAGTCTGTCTCGGGTGCGCGCAATAAAATGTAAATTCGCGGCAATTCGCCCCGATATCGGAACCCAAGTGCCTCTCTCCGTTCGTTTCAGAGATCTCCGTGTAACGGTGAGTAAGTAGCGAGTGCTGCGTTTGGGGCCCGCGGGCTCTGCCGTCATTTGCATGAGTAACGGTGGAGAGCGCCCGGAACGGTGTGGCGCGAAGCCTAGGGTAGTGAGACGCGCGCGCGAGTAATTTATAGTCAATAATTCTTAGCGAGGCAATTTTCGCATCGAGCGTGAACGTTTCCTCGGAACGACGACGACGACGACGGCGAAGGAGGCGAAACGGTGGGAAATGAGGCGGAATGTTAAATAGCCCGCCGTTGCACCGTCTTTTAGGCACATCCTACATAGGCACGGGATCATTTGCGAAATAATTTCGCATTCCTCGGAAATATTCGCGCGTATGACGCTACGACTTTTCCATTTGATTCTATCGCAGATGCATTTTGTACTTCCGACATAAGATTTATTATTATTTTGATATTTGCTGTTACTTTGTTCTTTGAGATCTTAAGATTAATTAATTAATTAATCCTTAATTTTGTATCGCGCTTTTCGCATCGCGTTGTATGTTTTTGTCTTAGTGTTTCGCGATTTGAACCATGTTTTTAACCATTTCGGAATATCCTGTGTCGTTTGTTAGGGTCGTTACCCTATACCGTTGCTTTCTCTGCTCTTATTTACCGCACCGCGCGCTACTTACGTGTGAAGGGTTTAGTCACGATGTTAAGAGAGGCGAAGATTACCTGGGTAACATAAACCGATACCGACAATGTAAAGGTGCGCGGCTGATATTAAATATCAAACCGTCGGCCCTAACTTCCCTCCGGCCTTGGAGTATCCCAGCGAGAGCTATCAGACTGATAGAATATGTTCGATGTCGCTATCGCGACGCTATTAACTCCTCTTTCCAAATTCTATATCGGACCACTATACGCGATTACCATACATATGCCGCTTTATTTAGAGCAGCCTTTATCGCGCGTGTAAGCTCGACTTATGTTCTGAATACAACCCGTTGTTTTCGCAGTGCCAAGATACTTCGATGACGTAAATATGAAATACTGTGTGCGCTAAGCACGAGATACGAAAGATTCTTGTTAGTCGTAAAAGAGTCCCGAACATGCGCATGGGCAAACATTTCCATGGGCTGTGTGGAGAAAATAATCGTGATTAACCGGAAGAAGTAAAGCGTATTTAGTTCTGGTACTTTAATATAATAAGCTGAGGATTTTTCAGTCGACTTCAACTTTGGCGAATCATTCCGGCAGACTATTGTTCAGCCGCGCCTCTCGAAACAAAGCATGCAGCAAACGGATTAAGCCTATTATTTTGCTGTTTATTATAACAATTACCTGTTGATGGTGGGACGACGAGGTGAGGTATGCAGGGAGACCGGTGAGAGAGTAATGATTGAAAATAACAGGAATCAGATAAACGTGCAATCATGCAACGCCGAGGCACTCCGCGGGTTGTCGGAAATGATCACAGATTTCAGGGCAGTGTGATCCGAAGACAAGCATTATGGTAATGATCCCCATTACATATGAGATCAGATTATAGATCATAGAATTATAAGCCTGTTATGATAAATCAGTTGTCTCGCCGTAGTCATTTTTCTTTGCACGATTCAATGGCCGTGTTTCAATATTCGTCGGACTCGATGTAAAAGTTTCATTAAATATTCGTGAAAAAACGTCGACACAGACACGTTGCGCACGTTGCGTCGGACAATAGCGTGGCATAAATATGAAATTATATGGTATTTTCATCGGCGACAGTCTGAGATTGTATGAAAAATTCAATAATGCACAAAGTACACGGCGAACAAAGAGATCAAAGGACAGTTAGCGTTCTCAAGCGATTCTGTATGTATGTTATCGGCTTTACTGTTCGTTTGTCGCCGTTGTCGCGAGCCAATTTTCGCTCTAACCGAGTCAAGCTTCCTGAAGCTTCTACGATCGTTATGGGTATTTGTACAACACAATTTATCTCAGCCCGGGGCTACAAGTCACAATGGCGGTCGCGCGACGGCTCCATCAAATCGATTCGAAGGAAATATCCGCCATAACAATCGATTACCGGCGAGTGAAAGGATGAGGAACTATCAGATTCGAAAGATTCAGCACGTACACACCTACACGTAGCCCGGCATATTCTCCAAAAACATCGGGGTGCTTTGTCAAATGTGTGATCATTAATTTCGTGCTTTATGTCAAAATAATGATCCGTTTTCTGCTTCAACAATTTCTTTGTTTGCGATCGGGAATTCGGCCCGGGGCTTGCCAGTCCCGAGGGTACGCAATCCCACTATACCGTCACAGTTGGCTATTCACATCCACTTTCGTGTTTACACATTTCCCGGAGGCCATAAATAAGCCCGTGCCACACGGCTGCCGGACACGAGCGAGGTCGCTCGCGCACGGAAAACTTGACTAATTGCGAGAAACCTCTCTGACGCGTTGCTCGTTTCTTTCCGCCGAGATATCTCCTTCGCAGATGCACTAAGCTACTACCACTTCTAACGGCGATGTGCAGCAGTTGGAGCATATCGCGCGTGGTTTTTCTGTTTAGCTGTCCATCATCCCGAAATTAATTTCTTCTATTTGGATTTGGACCGTTTCTATCACGTTGACGTCATTGTTCGTCTTGTTATCGTCGACGTAGACACGTAAGAAGGGTCGCGCATGACGTGGAGTTAACTAGGTTTGACATAATTTGACCTAACTTCTAGGAGTAATTCCACTATTTGTGAGGTAGTTTTCGGGGGAAGTCCGGAAAAGGAGAGTGCGAAACGACGAAATCTCCGGTCGCGTAATTTAATTTCGTAAAGGGTAATTGCTCCCTAATCGCTTGTGATCAATCAACCTAATCGTGTTACGAAGTCTAATTCGCTTATGCCACGACGTCGTCCACTGGCCGGCCCAATCTCCTCTCGATGTCAATTGAAGTACTGGATTACTTGGCTTTTTCTCCACACACAGTACCTATTCCACGATGATATGATAGGATGTTTGTTTCTTTTTTCACGCTTTTTACTTGCTCTTCAATTTCCCTGCATTTAATTAACCCCGATTGTTAATTCTCACAAATTTGAACCTTGATTTCGCAAAATATGCTCGCTCAAGATAGAGTTGAGTGAAATAGTAGAACTATATTGTACGAAAATAACTTTACTGGCAAGAAAAGACGCGCACATGTAGAAACGTATAGGAAAGACAATATAAGAGGCATGATGAAGCCGGTTTGTCGACCAACGAACGAAAACCATTGAATTCACTGGCGCCAACTAATCCGCCTGAAGTACTCTTCAGTAAGTACCGCTGCTTTCTTTTACCGCCGTCGATGCCTTCCATGATGCAAAGCATTGCCGGAAGAGGATTCTTGACGTGGTACTTGACGCCCGACTTCCCTGTGACGGCGAAGAACAGCATGTTACACATCGTATTAACTGCGATCATTCGACGCATAAACATTATGCACGTATGATGTTATGAGTGTTGGTACATGAAAAGAAACACACTTGGTGGACTCTGCTGCACAATCAACTTCGGCAAGCAAGTGAAATTTTTACTTATTCTAAACTTTATTTTCTTTTTTCTAATACGCAGCAAAGGGATGGAAAGGAAAAGAACACTTTAAGAAGTTCTTAAGGAAAATCTAACGACGCGCCTATGAGCAGAAATATAATCACAACTCAAAGCAAAAATAGCTTCGATGGCAGCTATCCTATATATTTGGTTTGGTAGTATACGGTTCGATAGAAACTAACTCAACTGAGGTTGGCCACTCATGAATACATTATCCTTTCTAACAAGGTGAATAGGTCAAGTAGATGGAATCGCAACGTCTGTCTATAAATCACTCAAAGGGCAAGTAAGATCACCCCATGTGGAAGTGCCGTTCAATGCTGCTCGAGTTCTCATGCATCTGTTTCCTCTTTTTGTTCTAGCATCGTTTCACCTTCCTTGTGGAGAAAGAGCACCTTATTATTTTATTCAACTGTAAAATTATCGTCGATCCTATGCTTTTCATTATATCTTCGCGTGAGATGCATCGCTATTAGTGTTTCTACAACGGAGTAATAATTTTAAGTGACGTTAGAATGGAGAACACGTCATTTATATCACATTTTTCATAACATTTTCTTGAAAACTTATCGTAAATTTTTACGTTTTGCGAAAGAATTCCTAAATAATTTGTGAAGTATTCTTGGGACAGATAACAGTGGTGTATTTAATAAATACAAAAATGTTTCTTTTGTAAGAAATGTTTTGCTGTATTTCGAATCTAAAAAGAATGAAGCTGCCTCGGATAACATAGATTAACAATTATAAGATAACGAGAATTGACGTAGAAAATGACACTGTAACGCGTGTCAGAAAAATACAAAACATTAATTCAACGACACACATATATACATATCATGTATATATCTATAACACAAAGATCAAGCATCCTGTCTGCGGAGTAAATCCGGAAATTGATTGATAATTTAAAATAACGAGTTATTGTTTCTTTTTATTCTTTTTCTATTTTATCGTACAACTACATTCGATGTATTTCAATTTTCGGTTTTATCCATTGGCATAGTCAAAATATGCAAATGCTTGCTTTATGTATATATGTCGTTGTTTTAACTATACATAAAAATCCGAGATATAGAAAGTCAACATAAGAATTACAATCGTGAGCAAATTTGTTGATATTTTCAATATTTTTCAACCATATATAACTATAATGTTATGCTATAATAAAGCTATTTACAACTTACAATATTTTTTTAATAATCATTCCTTTCGTTTCTCAGTACATGTTATCGTGTATACACGTAAAGTTCGATGCGATGTATAATATCGATAGTTACTAAAACTTTGGTTACGCAAAAATAGACGCAGATGTGTATATATATATATATATATACACATATATATACATATGTATATATATATGTGTGTGTATATATATATATATATTATGTATGTATATATGCATGTAAATATATACACATGTATATATATATATATATATGTATGTATAACAGAACTATTCATCGCCTCACTAGAGATTTGTTAAACTTACACGTTTATAAACAAATGTACAATAATTACAATGGAAATAGGATATGGATATAATTTATAAATAGTACATATATAGTGATTACATTATATCAATTATTTTTCATAGTCGCAAAAACGGAGTAGTATGCTTCAGTCGAAAACCTTTGATATGAATTTTCAACAAAATAATAAAAAATAGCTTACTTTTATGTTGTTACTACGCTTTTGCTCAGCGTTTAAATATCTGTGAAAGACACACAAGTGACTTTGCCCATAACTTTTAAAGATTCTAAATCAAGCATAGTCAGTATATATCTGAAATAATTATACGTAATATTTTAATAAAGTGAGAAAAGCAGGCGATAAAGCATTACACTGTGCATATTTGTCCATCAGAGAAAGTATAGTCCATGAAACGATGGTATATTAAGATCTTTTAATACAATGAATTTGACCTATTACCTCACACATATCGTATGTATTTCGTTTATATATAATCGCATATTTCATTCCACATAACGCAATGATACACGGAATGTATATCTTAATTTATTTCTCTTTTAAACGTAAACACGTAAAAATACATTTTAGTACTGTTCCATAAAGTATACTGTTTCATAAAAGTAACTTTTATATAATATATTACCATTGCAGAGTAATTAAAGTCTTCATAATAGCACATAGCAAATTCTTTATATCGCCGAGTAATTGCTTAATAAAATATTTATTCGTCCAATTACGATTACTTTCGTCCGAAATAAAATTGCCGTAATTGCGTTTGTTAATAAATTCTAATCATGCACACACATACACGCGCGCGCATACATACAAATCTTTCATTTGGGAGCATGCGTTTCCCCTTCCTCTCTTTATCAACTTTCTCACTCAAAAATCACAGTTAAACATTGGTTTTTCGACCACGTTTGCTGTAGCACTCGTCATTCGGTACTGAATTGTACGCCGGATGCAGCAGATGGACAGATCAAGTAAAGCATCAAGATTTACTCGCGTGTCACATAATTTTTTACCTGAATAAAAATCTTGTCAGTTTATTAATTGGACAGTACACTACACGTATTGTAAATTTTGTCTTTCCGACATGCGATGCTTTTTGCAGACTTATGTCATTTAAAGTTCTTCGTTCCTGTTTTACACTGTCCTAAATATGAATTTCGATGCCCTAAAGTATACATAAAATAGTTGGTTGCTATCTTGACTGATTGAATTGATGACAATTTAAAATTACGCATAAATTAACAGATTGTTACGGACGTACGTAGCCTCAACTTTGCGTTGTCTCCGTAATTAAGATAGTTGTCTCGTGAAATAAGTTTGTTATGAACTTATTGAAATCTGCATTAGAGATATCTGCTGAAATATCACCTGATTGTTCACTAAGTAAAATAAAAAATGACTATTCGAAAGATATTTGAAACCAAAGTAGACACTTTTTACAATTATTTCTTAAGGCTTAGCATTCTATTTTTAATTTTTCTGAGTTATACTTAAAGCTTAAAAGATTTTGATGAAAATTACCATGACACATTTCTTTTATCATTTTTTATTAAAAAAAAAAACTTCAAAATTATACATACATATAGACTATTTTATTTTGAAAATGCAACAGTAGAAAGTTCATCATTTATAATAATATTCGAGGTATATGCACATACACATATATCTAAATATTTAATTTTTCTTCATTGTTTATATATACCTCTATCACTTCAACTGACGTATAAATAAAGATTTAACAAAAAGAATATAGAAAATAAATATTTTTGTATTTATTATATCGTGCATTTATGTATCTTAATTTCCTTTCGAATTAACATTAGTATTTAGATATTTAAATAAATGTATATACAAAAATAATTTTGATCAATTACATAATAATATGCTTATGAGAAGTGCCTTTGCTGCGAATGAAAATTCATTACCGCACGGAACAACTACCTTGATCAAGTTCAACGCCATTCGATAGTCGCTTGCCTCGATATATCGCAGCACTTGTGGCAAATATGAGAAAACTACAAATCTAAGAGACTATGCTGAGTAGCAGGCGAAGGTAGCCAATAGTTTAGCGAAGTGATACATCAAGTTTTCCTTTCTGAATGCAATTCATAGGCATTCGCACCTGATAGGCATTATTCCGCACGAACCAGTTATACAGAAATGTAACCTTCTTCCCTCAACGATGTTGGTGATGTCAAGTTAGGTTAGGTTAGGTTAGGTTAAGTTAGATTAAGTTAGATTAGGTTTGGTTAGGTTATTGATATATAGCTGAGGTAGGGATTCATTTTATTTTGATAAGAACAGTAAGGCTGTTCATACGTGTATGATTGAGAGCACTTTTTATCACCGATAGCGGTACTCGAGGAGTAGAGCCCTCAGAAAGTCAATATTTATTGAAAGTTAGCTTTAACTTTGTATTTGTTAAAGCATTTTATGTATAGTGTGTATGATACAACAAACCTATTTGCATTAACATCGAGACAGTAGCGTTTCGCGCCTAGGTAAGAAGTGTTGTTTAATAGTTGCGCAAGTTTGCAGTTGTTTCAATTCTATGTTAAATCTTTAATATAAGATGGAAAACTTTGCAGAAAATTTGCGGAAGACCAACCGAGCATATTATCGCGATAGTATCGAGAGAAACATATTCTGTCGTACTGAGATCGTGTAGCTCGATAACGCGAGATTTCATCTTCGGACGATCGGCTAGTCGCGCGACAAGTATCTCGCGTTAAAACCAATATTCTCTGCTTACGTATTCAGTAACTCGTTACAGAAATCACAGTTCGCCGGTTGATTCGCCTCGCTAACCATTGGTTTACAAGCACCCGCTACCGAGAACTCATTGATGCATACCGGAGGATGTACCTAGACGGGGCCCGTAGAGGGAATACGGCGAAAAATACGTTGGCAGTCCGGCAGCTGCGTGTGGATGCGGCGGCGGCGGTGGCGGCGGCGGCGGCGGCAATGGCGGCAGCGGCAGGCCCAACGACGGTAGAGACGGTGGTATCAGCGGCGAAGGTTTCCCGTACGGATGGTAGCGCGCGGTCGCGAGTGGGCTCAAGGGCGGCGTGGGGTAAGTTCTGGCGAACAAGGGATGAGTCGGAGGCAACCCGACCGAGGGCGACAGCAGAGACAGAGCGGCAGCGGCGGCGGCCGCGCTTGTGGGATCGGTCGCGCCGCCGCCCGTCGACACGCTCGTGTGACTCCTGAGGTGTTGCAACAGCTCCTCTGACGTGGCGAATCTTTTGCCGCAATATGCAGTGTCGCCGGCAATCCAGTTACATACGTAAGGTAACTGCGAGACCGCAGCTAGTGCGGCTAACTGTGCATGCGCGTAGGCTGCGCTCGCTGCACCGAGCGGCCCATAAGGCGAAGCGCTGCCAGGTTTGTGATCACATTGGACACACCCAGCCGGACAAGAGTTCGGGCTCACATTTGTACCTGACGGCAATTTTCCATTGACGACGTTGGCAACGGCCGTGACGGCGGTCGCCGAGTTTGATAGCAGGTGCGAGTTCAATTGGCAGCCGGTGCAATAGGGATCGCGGCATATCGCCATCAAACTGTCCGCCGGTCCAGCGTTGCTTTTCAACCTCGTGTAGCCGAGATAAGGATTGGTGGCGACGAGACCGTTCTTTAGAACAGCATGATGCTGAGACATTAGTGAGCTGGCCATTACATCTATGGGTAACTGACCGGGACTATAGCCTAAATAGGCAGCGGTGGAAGTTGGGAGACTGACGCCTGGTTTAAACGTGCCTAAGGGGAGATCTTTGATGGATGGGTCGGTCATTGCCAGCACCCCCGCGGGACTGTAGGCAGGTTTGACTTGTAACGAGGGACTACTGACGGTTGGTTGATTCGAGGTAGTTTCTGTCGCGCTCGTTGGTACCAAAGGCGCCGAACTTCTAGAAGCCGGCGACTCCCGCGTGACCTCACCATTTGGCGTTTTCCTGCCTTGTGGCGTGACCGCGCGTACCGATGTAGCACTTTGATTGCTGGGACATCGTTTGCCACCGCTACCGGGAGTCCTGGATCGACCAGATGTCGAATGGCTCGATGCCGATCTTGGTTCGTCCGGACTAGATGCTTTCTCGCGTCCGAGGCAGGATTCGTACGGCTTGAAACTAGTTTTTGTGGGTTCAACCGTCGACGTCGAGACCACAATCACTGCCGGCGAGGACTTTTCGCGTGATTGATCCGCGGTTTTAGATGATCTGTTGCTCGACGATTTGTCCAAGGAACTTAATAGCGATTTGTTGGACGGGGGATCCGCTCCTATCTGGCTGCAGGTCTGAGCGAGTAGCGCGAGTGGACTTTTCTTCGCATCTAACTGAAATCAGAATATGGGAAGAGAGTGCAATGAGATTCGCGTTTTTGTAATATTGAGTGGGACGATTAAAAAACCACACTTGTGTCTCTCCTAAGCATAAACTAATCAATGACTTCCGCGATACAGTGGATACAGTGTACAAGATTAGGCGATTCGAAATTTTCTGTGTAAGACGTTTACGGAGCCAATACGGAGCCAAGTCTAATTAATGACACGCAAACTGCAATCTGTAGCTCGCCATTTGCTCGCCAAATGAATAGCGTATAAAGGGTACGTCGGACACAGACCTATTCACTGGAATGCTAACCCTTTTAATTCGGTTGCCGAGAAACTTCCCACACGAGAGATATATATATATATCTTCTCAGATTTTTTCCAACGGACGTTGGAACGAAATTATTTCAAGAAGCAGCAATGATCAATTTGATGTAATATAATGTAATGTCAGGAGGAGGGTACTTCTAAAATTACAATCAATAATACTTATGTGCGTAATTTATTGTTTTTATCGAAAAAGACATCTGCATCAGCACATAATTGTAATTAGTCAAGAGCTCGAAGTGTGATACGTCAGTGACATGGAACGTCGTTGACGATTAACTGTGCCGGATTTTTTTCTTCATTGCGAACGAGTCGCACCGCAAAATATAATCAATACGAAATTGCCCGATACAGACGTCATTAGCGTATAAGTGCGGGAATTTAATATCGGCGCCTTCGTATATCTCCGGTCACTCGAAGTGGTCACGATGATGCACTCGGTATAATTAACGTATAGAGGAACGATATTTCTCGTCGACTGATACGTCCACCGAACAGATGTTCCGTCGTAATTAAAATGCAACGATCATGCAATACTAACCCGCCACGCTCACGGTCGGTCGTACTAATGGCGCGACGCCGACAGATATTAATGCCGTGAATTGCAACAGGCCATTACGGCAACGCGAGGCTATATATTAATTGCGCTCGTGAAAGTTAACGGGAACGTTCGAACGTAATATTTTAATCCGCTAATGCCGCCCGCCGGCTTTTAATTGCCGAGGCTAATTTATGCTCCTTGTGACGAACGTCTTTCCTCTGCTTGCGCATTGCGCGACTCCTCTTGCTTCATAAATCCTTTGAATTCTTCTTGTGTACACCGTCGAATATTTTTACGTTCATAAATCTGCTTCTCGGGAATAGCGCAGAATAATCTGAGCTTTCTTGCGACGGTTGCTCTACTCGGGCAGGCTTCTAATAATCGCAAGAGATTGCAAAAACTTCTAACGAACGACCGAAGGGAGAAATAAGAGAAAACATTTTGCCTAAGTATTCAGTCGAAAAAATCATCGGCGCTTTGTCTCTCTATCAGATAGCATAAAGTCGCGATCGACCGCTCTATTCCGCACGCTTTTTCATCTATCCCGTTGCCCGCGTTCAACAATCAGCATTGTATTACCAAATCGCGCTTTGATTTACGACGCGCGTAAATCAGCAGTCCGACGCACACACGCACGTACACACACCGAGACTTTGCCAACACTCTCTGTCCCCAAAATAGTTTACAGGAGTTCGGAGCATAAAACGCGGCGCGCGCGTGTTTCCGTCGGGATTAACGAAACGACGACGGACGACGTTAATGGGCCGTTGGGAAAGATATTTTCAAGTGAGACTTACGCAGCGCGACTATAAAATTCCCGGGCTGGTTTTATTTTAATTTACGAAAAGAAATATATAAACACATTTGTCCAATGTAATGTTGTAGGGTAACACAGTCGCCTCTTAACGTTCTATTTTTCTTGGGTCGGTAAAGATCAGTAAAGGAATTAGAAAGCTCCTCCTCCGAAATCCTTCTCCTGGAACTTCTTCTTGAATTATCTCGGTTACACCTTTCTGGATGACGTCCACGTTTTCAAGCTTTCCCCTTACAATCGCAATCTCATTTTGTGCACGAGAAAATAGTCGACGGGGGTTAAATCTGGCGAGTAGGGGCGGTATTGTAGTATTGCCTTCTGGGATCTGCTTATCACAGTTTTTGAGAAAGAGTCTAGACACACCTTTCAAACAATCTACACAACTTTCTCTCGCTCAGTGTTAATTATTTTGACGTTCGTACTGCGTTCGTTTTTATGGGTCCAACATTTCGTGAACATTTCAGTTTATCTCATCAAGAAGAGCAGTAAACACACACGCTGATACTGGCCGCTCATCGGCAGATACTTCCCTCATGAATAAATAGAGGTCTTTTTGTCAATATCATTCTGCAGAATATTATGAGTAACTTCTTTATCGATATTTAGTTCTTTATTTATCACTTTGAATCGTCGATTTTGTGAGATTAATATTTGCACGGCCACGATCTTCTCATCTCTGACTAGTGGGAAGGTGGTCACTTAGTGGATCGTCATTATCGGATTTCCCATTTTTTCCAAATCTCCTCTTAAACCACTTATAGATCATAACAGTGAGGTATCAATACAAACGACAGCTATCAGGATACTTGTGTTCCCACTCAGTTCTTTCAATACGTATTTTAAAAGTGGAGAAATACATATTTCTACGAATCGATAAATTGCGGTGCGAAGCAGCAACTGACATAAGACATAATAAATGGTAGGGTCTGTAATTCGCGATGTAGGAAAAGACGATAAAAGTGGACAATGCGAAACTAACCGTAGTAGGTAACGGTGTGAGATATTCAGGACGGAGATACTGATTCGCATTGGACGTCAGCATCTTAAAACCTTCGCGGTCGATCCTCGCTCACACCGTCGGTTGTACTAAACGAAAGCACCACTTTTTTTTTTACCACACTCCTCGGCTCATCAGTGTATCAACTTAGGACTCCCGTTTGTCACTTTTCTCTTCTCCTATATCCGTCGCAATAACGAAACAACTATAGTATCACTCCCGAACGTAGCCATGCACGAAGCTGGCATTCGATAACGAACGACACTTTCTCGCGCACACAATACGCTCCCTCCCAGCGGGCATAAAACAAAAAGGTGAGAACTCGTCGGAGCACACTGCGACAATATGCATCCGTTTGAACAGGTGAAAAGGAGGTGATTCACGTTGAGACAACCGTGCAGTACAATGCGACAAATCGACGTGACGAGGCTTGACTCTCGACTGGAGCCGCTTCGCGCGGTCGACGTGGAGCGCGGTCACCCTCCTCGCCGCTCACCCCTACCGATCCACTGTTCAGCTGACTTCTCCCACCACACACCGCAGACTCGCTCCCCTGGGGAGCCGCACTCCTCCTTTGCGTCTCAGCGACAACATCGTAGGTGCCTCCTCCTCGACACCAGACGGTGTATCGCGACTACAACGCGCACGGAACGACACGAAACACTACGAGCTGCAGCGGAGTAACCAATGTGGTGGGCGAAAGAGAGGCGAACGCAAAGGCAACGGCTACGGCAGCGACGACGGTGGCGGCAGCAGCAACAGCAGCAGCGGCGGCGGCGGCGGCGGCGGCGGCCGTAGCGACACGGTGGTCGTTGTCGGTTAGCGCTACGCCGACACTTTCGCCGGGTGCGAGCGACCTGGACAACGACGTGTCAACTGGCGCAGGGTGCCCTCTCACGACTCCCGCCACGACTTGCGCGTTCAGGGAGTCTCGTGTATTATTAGTTCGCACTGATACTGTTACTTTCAACGTACGCTGGTGTCGTGGCGTTGTCAACGGAGCGCGTTGATGCTGCGCGTCCAACAATCGACATTTGGACATTTTTATTACGACATGTTCTAGCGTGCGAACGTGTCAACGTGTTAAGATTTGCAGAAGACTAGAGGTTACTGTGTGAGTCGAGCTCAATGTAGTTCATGTATGCATCGAAACGTTCGTATTCGTAAATTTTGCACGAATTGAAAAGATTTTGCTGATTGTGCGCGCTCTTTGCCAACTTGGTTTTTTACGCAGTTTGCGAGATGCAATTTATCGAATTTGTTGATGTTAAGTTTAACGCACTTATCGGTCTTGAATTGTACACATTTGTTTTTTTTTTTTTTTCATAAGTCGCTATAAAGTATCCATTTTTCTTTTTGTGACGAATGCTTCGTTTCAACATAGAATTCTGATGTTTTTAGATAAGGCAATAAAATACTGAACAATATAACATATAAACAAATAGAGCGTGAAAGAATATAACGATCGGCCTGTGTTTGCCCTTAATGCAGCCTTTGTTCGTGCGTTTACGACGATGCACTCACGCTTGAGTTCCAATATACGGCATTAAATCGCTTTATAAATTTCTATCGGCAGTGAAAAAGTGCTCAAACAGGTATAAATTGTGGAAAATTTTTCTGCCACGTTTTTTAAACGTGGTTATAAACACCTTTAGATTGAGCAGCGATAATAAATTCGATTGTCCTTAGTAAATAAATTGCATCGGCCAAGAAAAGTAATTAAGTAATATAAATGTGCAAACTCTGTTAGCCTGACAGTTTGCAGCTTTATAGCGACTACAAAAAATAATTATGTTTTATTGCTTTATTCCCAACACAATTACTTTGAACCCGCCGTCTGCCGCCGGAGAGGAGAATAAACATTTCGTAATAAAAATTTTGTCTCTTACCTGAACAAGACGAGTTGTTTGAAGCTACCATTTAATGTATTTTAATAACTTCTTCTGTGTCTTGCATCTTATTAAATCTTATTAAAATTGATTATAACGCAATTTTGATTAGATATATAGACAAAACGTATATTTGCTGCTTATCCGCACAGCATAGAAGTTGCAGCAACATTGAAACAATATCGCAATGTTGCAGCAACGTTTCTTCAACTCTGTGTGATGTATGAGTTACTAAAAAAAAAAATTGCGCCTTATATCGCTTGATTCGATAATTTTTCTCATAATCTAATTGGAAAAATTCGAATTGAAAAAAAAATTGCTGATATAATTATCGGATATTTGTCTTTTTGCAAATGTGATACATTCTGCTTTTGGCAAACATATTGAGGTAGCTTTTTATATTCACGACACGCATGTGAAATTTAATATTGAAATAAATTTAATGCGAAAACGTTTAAAACGCGTGCACGGCACAAGGGTTTACATACATATTGTAGCAATTAATGAATTCAACTAAAGTGGATTGAAGTAGTAATGGCAATGGTGTATGTCGGCGGATACGGATGTGCTAGTGATGCATCGAAATGCATATCAATTGTTTCATGGAAATTCGAATGTCAGTTCCTCTCATTGCTATTCGCAAAATTATAGGATTTTGTTACGTGTACATGTGCCACACAGGCAATTGGTGATTTACGTAATTCGCATTGATTATTGAATCATACATTACCATGTAACCTGATTTAATTCGACACTTTAATTAAACATATAATAAATATATATACACACACACACACACACACACACACACACACACACATATACGCTCGTTCCCTACCGCTGATGTACATATTATAATTGTACATTAAACGGAGGATATAACACGCACGAGACATCGTTAAATTCGTAACATCTCGAGAGCAGTTGCTACGCGCAAGAAATGCTAGATTACTTGTCACTCATTTCAACTCGCTACCCTCCTTCAACGATTCGTCGCTGTCGGTAGACCTCTAATGTCGTAGATAATACAAGACATTCTCTGCCAGGTTCCTTCGGTCGGCGCCACATAAACACGTCGCGCCCTCGTCTGTTCAACTGGGAGAAGAGGTTCGGATAATTATACACCGCTCTCATCTCTCACCAAAGCGTATCCTCTAACTAGCGCTAATAACGCCGCTAATGCTCTTCCGTGGAAACTGTTCGTATCTAACAACCGGCCGGAACGTCGCCTGACAGAAAGATAAGATAGAAATAGTGTCGGGAGATTGTTTTCGAGTTTCTTTCGGACGAGAAAACATTGGCCGAGGATTGTGAAATACGTGTCTATTAGTGCACCATTAACCCGTTAACTTTCCTCAACATTGCTTTGAGGAGATTAAATGGGATACGTAATAAAACTCTCAGAAACTTTTGTCAATCGGCGGGTTAAGTGTGTTACATCTATCGTTGAACAGCTTCTTCGCATAACGTTGAAAGCATATATTTTCCGAGAAACACGTAGGCTCGATACTTTATCGCGATATTTCGAGATTTGATGGTATGTGCATTTTTAATTTTCTTCATACGCGAAGTGATGTAAACAAAATTTATACATGACGTTCATACGTTCAGAGAGCTATAGTTAGGGTATACGGCACATGGTTCGCGCGAACATTATCGTTATCGGTCTTCGGTAATAACATACTATACAGCGCGTTGCGCGCAATTACATGAGCGATTTATAGGTTTTCGTCACGCAGTTCTACTTCCTTCGACTTCTTAACGAGTGTACCGGGCTTTCCAAGTGTGTTATTCCGGCGGGAAGTTTTCATTATTTTCCATCATCTCGTAATAAATCATCGCAACGCTAATTATGTTTGAGGGTAATAATTATCGCAATGTTTCGATATCGCAAGTATCGAATGACTTTTTCTTAATGTCGGCAGATAACACGTCCATGGCATGGCCTTCCTTTTTGACTTCTGTCCTCGTTGAAAAATTCCCCGAGTTGTGATATCAGTGTGACTTCGGCGAATGGAATAGTATCTTGTCCTACTAGCCTCCAGCGCGTCTTCAGCTAGTCCATGTTTTCTCACGCATTACCGTGTCTCACTCGTAGCGAGTTACTCGGCGACGGATAATCACCCTCCGCTCACCGCACATCGATCAGGCGAAGCGTAAACACGATTAGTATAACGCACGGGTAATGAACTAATCCCGCCACGTCGTCAACGAGCACGAACGCGGTACGAACGTGCGTCGCTCGGTTGACGACGCTCGCGTGACGTCGCTGACGTTTCTCCCTCCCTCCCTCCCTCCCTCCTTCGTCGCTGTCGTCCGCCTTCCACTTCTCGCTTCAGTCCTTTTTTTCTTCTCCCTCCTTCCTCGCGCGCGCTCCAGAAACGAGCGCGTTATTTATGGGTAGTCGGTTGCAACTCCACTGGCGCATTCTGCACAAGGGCTGCACGAAATCGACAGCTGTCGCCTCGTTCGGCAGCTCCGTATATCCATCTCCCCTCCCCTTTCTCTGCCGTGCCGCCATCTCGGACTTTTCCACCGATGTGGCAGCTTCTGCCGTATATCCTACTCCTTTGCCCGGAGGTTAAGTTTGTCATCCTATTCACGTACGTTCGTATCCATACATTATGTACGAGCGGACTTATGAAGCGTCATGTTATAGTCGCGCGACATGATTTCTGCTAAAAATGCTTAACTGTCATTATTGTACTGGCGTCGATTGGACAAGGGGAAAGATTTTCGACGAAGCACCTTTCAAATTCGATTTGCAGGTGTTCCGTACGAGTGAATTCAAAAAGGCCGCGTAAGAGTATTGATAATACGCGCGAGAGTTTTATATATATATATATATATAAATATATACGTAATTTATACGATGCACGTGTAATAATTTTCTCGCAAGATTCGAGATCTTTCTCGAGACACCACACATCACCTTCTACTCTAGACCTCTCTGTTTATAGCGAAATCACGGACAACGACCACGACAATTATTGCGTCAACGCACATCGCGTTTCTCCGTTTCCTCGATTTAATGCGAGGCGAGACTCTACGCTAAGAGGGCGGTGCGCGTCAGTGCATCGATAATGGATCGCTGCTTTGCTAAGAATCATCCGTCTGATGCGCGAATAACGGGAGAACATACACACGCATGCATACCAATATGAGCATAGAGAACGTGTACTAGCGCAAAAGGCGTTATTTATGTCCTCTTTGTCGGGCTATCGATAACCGCTGCGGAGAACTGCGGCATGGCATAGTGTGGCATGGCGTGGCATGGCGTGGCGTAGCGTGGCATAGCGTAGCGTAGCGTGGCGTGGCCTAGTGCGCGGCTCGTGTCGGTGTATACGCACATAAATAATGCGAGCGCAATTTCCCATGTAATTGATGGGGCACCCCTTCCCCCCCTCTACCATTCTCGTTCCATAATGGTGAGTGAACTGAGCTCTGGATGTTAGCCGGAGAGAGCACCCCGCGGGGCGTAAACTCGACAATGCCTTCGTCACGCCGCGCATTGTTTGCTACCGCCGAGAGTTCACTCTCGGAGCTTGATTTACTGTCTCCGGCTGTGCTCACGAGCCGCGGACGGCCCCGCAAAGAGCGTG